TTGAAACACCAGTCCTCATATGATCACCGGTTAAGCAACATTGAGCCTGGTCAATATTTAGATGGGTGACCACTTGGGAATTTCAGGTGCTGTAAGCTTTGATATGTGAGTGGTGTAATGGATAATGGCTCAGAATTTTTAATTGGAGAGCCAAGTTCCAATTCCCATTGGGTCCGTTATCTTCACTTAATGCAAATATTCTTGGGAAACGTATTGAATCCGCCTCTTCTTTCCCTAGCTATGGGTTAATTAGTAAGACTTGTATCACTAAATCATTATTATATCCCCCCACCAAATCCTTTCAATCTAAAAATATTTTCTGGCTTTAAATATCCTACAAAAGGTTGATAAGTCATAAAAAATGAATCAATCAATTACAACCTCAATTAGTAACCGTGAGTGGTTCTTGGGCCTTGCATTGGGTGAGCAATCAATAAAAAAATTTTCTATGGAAGCTGTCGAGGGCCATGATCAGTTAACTAGCTAATCTGGATAAAGCCTTCATTTTTCCCCTCCAAAACCGCAACCACAAAAACAATAGAATAATCAATATTCGTTTATTACATTTTTTGATTTTGATAATAAATTTCTTTGATTTGTTTAACACATGATAAATTCTTTTTAATTATTTGACATGAAGCAGACATTTGAAAGTTAAATACTGAGAAAGACTTTTCATTTCTTTAACCTTTCTCTCTGTCATTCCATTAGCCTCCCCCTCCTTGACCTTGCATGATGCTGAAACTGTCATTGACCCAGACACCAGAACTGATACATTTTACGAAAACAATGATGTAGTATCAACATTTTATAGTTTTGCTTGGTCAGTAGATACTTAAACTGGCCTCAGATATTTCACTTAGCAGAGAGTGCTAAATTGGTATGTCCTGGTGTTCGGAAAAACTGTAGACATCTGTCAGATAACTAATTTCCTGATTCTTAGAACCCTGCAACAATAAAGCCATTGCTATACTCTTTGGGGCTATTTACAAACTCTTTTCTTCTGTCTGGTGTCACACTAACCTCTGGTTTGGATGAGAACTTTTTCAGCACCCACTTATATGTATAAATCAATAGATTCCTAACCTAATGATGAAAAGATAAAAAAAAGCATTTAGATTACATAAGAAATATTTATTTTTCAACTTAATCTCCTTTCTTGTTAATGCACTTAATTCAGTGATAAGTATTAATCACAGAGATTGAACATTATACAGTGAGAGTCTTTGTTTGATATAAAGAATTATTGTCATTTGATCATTTTTTTTTACTCTTATCCTCATCTTTGTTTTCTTTGTTTTTATAATCCACCATCTTCAGGTGAATGTAGAATCCATTGAACAGTCTAAAAGACTTATTGATTTTTCAATAGATACTTTCTTTTTCTTACACTGCGGTTCACCCAATACATAGCCTATTATGAGGATATGTAATGGGTGACCCTGGATTTGAAGAAGTTAAGATTTGTGGCGATTGTAGAAGCATTCTCTCAGAATTCTGTTCCATAATGAAGTGGCTCTTGGAAAGAAGCTGTTAGAATGGAAAGAATTCACACAAACTACATTTCTTAGTTCCACCAGTTCTAACCCTTCACTGCTAATACTTGCCATGCCACACCCATTTTAGCAAACCACTCTCATTCCATTTGTACTCCACTGGGGAGATGTAATTTCCACTCAAACAGATTCTTCCCACAAACTGCTGCTTTGTAGAACTGACTCCCAAGAAAATGTTTCCTCAACCACTACAATGTTGACCTGTTCAAGTCTAGACTCAACTGTTATCTTTCCTGTATATGTGCCTCTTACTATATAACCCTCTATCTCGAGTGGCTCTTGGGCCTTGTACAGGGTGAACATCATTGTAAAAAATATCTTCTTATTATTATTTTTTCACTTTCTTCTTCTTTAAATCTTTTTCTCTTCTGGTGTCGCTAATAGTGGTGATAGAAACGTTTGAAGATATCTTTGTTTATATATAAAGTTCTGTTATGTGTCAACTTGATGTGTAATGGTATTAATGTTATAGTGTTCCTTATTCATGAGTACTATGTTCGAATTACACATAAAATAGTAATTATTGAAGGAAATTTGGGCAGCAGAAAGTTGCATACCTAGTGATATTCCCAGATATGAAAATAACAAAATCTAACAAGTACTCAAATAACGCATGCACAGAAGGACGCTTGAAATGAGAATTTCTTTTTTGATTTCTCAACAACAATACAAACCTACACAACAATCAAGAAAAATGCAAATAGTGAAAGGGCACCTGAAATTCACTGTTCTTATATGCCCCCACCCCTAATCAATATTGTCTTCAGTTAATACCTTCTGATCCCAGAATTCCAAGAGGCATTGAAAGGTCAACATTTTTCATCTGATGCTGAAGCTGCTTCTGCTGGATTCAAATTCTTTCTTTATGAATGGAATCAAACAGTGAACAAAAGGTTTGGAAAATATATGTACAACTAAATGGTGACTATTTAAAAAGTAATAAATAAATTTGTACTTTTGAAGAGAAATTACATTAATTTTTATATCAGTTTCATTGACTTATCTTGTCTAAGACTTTTAGCAAGGAATTTTTATTTTCCAAATACGGTCAGCGCATTGTGGCAGTGTTCATAGTTGATATTATATAAGACTGTGCATGTAGCAGAAATGGTTATTAGTGTGAAGAGTGGAATGAATAAATCATGGTTCAAATTCTGGTTAACTTTGTTACATTCACTTTTACAATAATGCCCTTGTGAAAAAAAAAGAATATTTAGTCTCTAATTTCTTCTATAAGATTGTAGACCTTTGCTTATCCATCAATTCTTATACACATCTCATATTTGAAATACTTAAATGCAAATCGAATTTGGTCATTACATGATTGATCAATTCAAAAACCATTTTAACAAAAATATTAATTTTATTGAAATTATTTGTTACTCACAAATTGGACACGAGTTGTCAGAATGATTGTACCACTTGGAGAAAATAAATGAAAGAATTAAATGGATCCACATAATTATAGGCTTGGATAATAAACTGGGTTTTTAGTGTGGAGAGTGGAATGAATGAGCCAAGTTCAAATTCTGATTAAGGCTGTAACATTCACTCTGGCACTAATGCTCTCATGAAATAAACACGAGGAAATAATTTGTTAAACGAAACTACAATAAAATAATTCAGGTATCAGAACTGTCAAGAAATAATAAATAGTTAATCAAAGTTTAGTCAGGAGTCATGATTTGAGGAATGATTGGTTAATCCAACTATAGTCAGGATCACCATCTGAGGAATGATTGGTCAACCCAACTTTAGTCAGGGTCAACATCTGAGATTTGATCGGTTAACCCAACTTTAGTCAGGATCACCATCTGCGGAATGATTGGTCAACCCAACTTTAGTCAGGGTCAACATCTGAGGAATGATTGGTCAACCCAACTTTAGTCAGGGTCAACATCTGAGGAATGATTGGTCAACTCAGCTTTAGTTGGAGGTCACCATTTGAGAATGTACAAATTATCATAAACACAACAATTTACAGTTTAATAGAGATTACAAAGAATAGAAAAAAATCCCTTTCTATGTGTAAGGTTCAAAGTTTCTAGTTTCATGTAGAGTTTATAATCTTGTGAGCGCCTGGTTTGAAATTCTGCTATCAGGACCAAAGTTAAGGTGCTGACTTGACTGCTGCTGACCAGACAGCATGTGTTTCTGTTTTTATATCTGTCTGGCTCTCTAGACTTTGTGAGTGGGCAATTTCTGTCTGTGTGCAGGCGGTATGTGTGAGTGTATGTTTGTTTCTGTGAGCTACTTGTGAGTTATGATGAATGTAAAAAAATGTTATGATTTATGTATATTCTATTTAATTTATTTTATTTTGTTAAATTAGGGATAATGTCCCTACATATATATATCTTCAAACATTATTGCAGTGAATATTCAGTATTTGAAACAGATACCCCATTGTTATTTATTAAACTGTGTGTATTATATATTATATAATTGCTTGATCATCCACAATAGATTTAACTTCTTACAACATTTCACCTTTATTTTATCAGATCTTTTATTGTCTTAATCTGGGATATTTAATAACAAAAGTAATGGAAATATAAACAAATGGAAAAGATGCGAAATGAAATTGGCTGGCTATACACCAAATAAATATTTTTAAAAAAATTGAATTTAAATTTAAAATTCTCATTGTTCCCTTTCCGTCATGTGAATGTGTAGTCACATCAATATAAACATCACTTTTAGTCTGCTGAAGCCGAAAATGATGAAATGTGTCGCACAAAAAATTTTTTGATCTTTTAGTAGTTTTTTCCCTAAAAATGTTTCTCAATATATAAAAATGTATATATTGTTTTCCGATATTAAAACAGAAGTAAAAATGTTCAATACTTATGAACGGTCAACTCAGAGATTTGTAATTATTAATTACTAAGTGGGCCTCTCGACAAGAATGACTGTCAAGAGTTCCAATCAGTGATTTAAAAGTCACAAAGATCTGAGTTGACCTTTGATAAGTACTGAACGTTTTTACAACTATTTTAATAATACTTACTGCTCTATGAGCAGAAATATTTGATATATATTAAATTATATAATTTTGCTTATATTATTTGCTGGTATCAATAGCAAGCATTTCAATCTTATTTTACCCTTTCTCTATCCAAAATATGTATTGGCTTTGAATAATCCTCAAAGGGTTGGTGAGCAAAAAAAAAAAAAAAAAGCAAATCAATCATTGTAAGAGAAATATTGCAGAGTTACCTCCCTTACACTAATCTATTGTCTTTCTTTTTTCTGATATTGATTTTAAAAAAATGAATTTTATGTTTAATATTTTTCCCTGATTGTTCTTTCAGGCAACGCAAGGAAATGGAATCTGCTTTGCAAAACGCCGGCACTTTGTATACAGACGAACAAATAAACCAGTTGGCTCAACGTCATTTTGAAAATACACAGGTTTGTTTTGTCATATGTAGATTTTAGGACATTCAATTTTGGCAAAGTTTTTTTTGTGTTTTTTTAGATATATATATAATATATATATAATATAATCTTTATTTTAAAAAAAACTATTATGTAAATTTTTGTAACTTTGTATAATATTTATGTATTGCATCTTAATCTTTATTCGGTAAAAATTTCATTGCTAATCATGCATTACTTTTTAAGTAATACACATATTTATGTCTTTGTTGTTTCCGTTCCTTATATTATGGCCACTACTGTATATTAGAGTGTGCAGCTTTTATATCATAAAGAAACAATTTATACAAAGAATTAAATAGAAAGTTTACTGTGACTAAAGGCAAAATCCCTTCACTAACAGGACATAATGAGACATTAACTTACTATCAATTCCTTGGATAATAAGATTCTTATATTCATGTTTCAAAATTCAACAACTGACAACAACTCGAATATAAGGAACTTATTATTCAAGGAATTGATAGTAAGTTAATGTCTCATCATGTCCTGTTAGTGAAGGGATTTCACCATTAGTCCCAGTAAACTTTCTATTTAATTCTTTGTATAAATTGTTTCTTTATGATATATATATCCAAATAAAGAGAAGAACAGACAGATAAAGAATCCACTGTTCTTCGCATTTACTTTTTTAAAAAATGCTCAATACAACGTAGAGCAAAATATTATAATAATATTTTTATTATAAAATATTTTACATCACTACACAAAAATTTCTATGTTTTGGGACTTAAAAATTGTTTCGTCATCAGGCGATGTTGGATAACTTATGATGAAAATGATTTACTTGTAAAATCATTTTCATCATAAGTTACTCAACAAGAAATTTTTGTGTAGTGATGTAAAATATTTTATAATAAAAATATTATTATAATATATATATAAAAATGCATAAATATATAAAACTGTACATAAAAACTAACACACATATGAAAATACCCACACAACATATCCAAAACACATACATACATATACATACACAATATATAGCCATATATATACATACACACGTATACATGCACACATACATATACATCAAGGCATATTACTTTTGATAAATATTGTAACATGGCTGCGAATAAAAATAAAATAAATACAAAATAAAATTCTATTTATAAAATGATTTAAATCTATTTTTATGACAACATTTAAATATGGTCATTCCTTTGGTTCAATAGCTGGTGAGTATTTTTAATTATTTAAAGTTTTTCTTCCAAGCACAAGTTATATCTATTTGGTTTGGGTTTGGGATTTACCTATTATCTCCCATTCAATCTGTAGGGTGAACTTTCTATCCTTTAATTCCCAGAAATATTTAGAAAGAGCTGTCTAGTGTTTTAGATAAGGGTCATATTGCTCTGTATACTATACATTGAGCACTCATTATGGATTTAACTTTTTAATATTTTATATTAAAAAGACCTACTTGGATTATCCTTTCCACTTATGGATTTGATATTATTATCTATATAGTTGGCCACTCGTATTTAAGGATATCTGTCTACTGGGTCGGATAGCCAATCCCTATCGCAGACGCTTGCGCAGGCACATTTGTGCTTATTCAATACTCACAAAGTCAACCTGTGGTTTATACTGCAACTATGCAGACCTTAATTACAGTTTCTGGGAAAGAGCATGTTATCTAGTGTGATTGACAATTTGTACGAGGCCAGCACGCTCAAGCCCTCAGTCATGATGACTTATGACTTTGTGCTAGCATAGCTATCAATGGCCACCAAAGGTTTCACCTACCCAATTTCACTCACAAGGCTTGGGTCAATCCGTGGTATGGTTTTCAGGCACTTTCCAAATGTGCCGCACACTGGGATTGACCCCTCCAGTTTGATAACACCAGGAAGTCTCCTTCCTGACAAAACAACAATGGTGAGATTCAAACCCAGCTCTCATGGTCAGAATATGAACATTCTAACCACTTGACACATGTATATTATTATTTTTTATATATATATATATATATATATATATATATATATATATATATATATATATATATATATATATATATATAAAATTAATTGGTAATCTGTATGGATAATTCCAAAGAGGATATAAATCCAAAAGAGCTCAACTGAGCAAATGATAATTAATTCCTGGCGAATTAAACTTTGAACATGTGACCATTAGGATATAGGTCAGCCCATCAATCTCTCACTCTCCCCCCCAAACAGGCTCTCCAACTTCCATAATATGATTCCAGTAACGATGCCTTCTTCTCCACCTCACCTCCCAATAGGTATCCAATTACACACCCTCTCCCTTTCTTTCTCAAAATAAACAGTACACTACAAGCTGATACCAAAAACAGTTTGGAAAATCCTGCAAATTTTAAAATTAAAATTCATAGGTGAAAATGATCATTTACTAAAGGTATTGTAATTCCAATTGTCAAATAAATTTGCTCTGTTTATTGTGAATAAACATAGAGTGCTCTTTTGTGAGTCAGTTTTAACATATTTCAAATTCTATGTTGTGTTAATAGGACTCACCTGGATTATACTAACGGATTACTACTTGTGTGTATATATATATATATATATATATATATATATATATATAAATAAAAAGAAACGACGAGGAAAATATGCAATATGTTTCATTTCTTGAGGAGTTTTTTTTATGTCTATTAATTTATTTTTATATTTATCATTCTTTTTTTATTATTTATTTTTTATTTTATTATTTTGATTTATTTCATCATTCTTCATTTATTTTATTTCATTATTTTTTATTTTAATTTTATTATTTATATTGTTATTTCTTTATTTTCTTAACAAAAATAATTAAATAATAGTATAAATAATAAAAAATATTATTTTTATTAACAGTTATCTTTTTATTAATATTCTCAATGCAGATATATTCATGTATATCTCAATTTTACACACACACACATATATATATATTATTTATTATAATTTTTTCATATAGAAATATGTAAAAAATTATAATAAATAATTATTGCTCTACTATCAGTATTGAGATCTTTGAATTAATGCTTTGAACATTAGAATTTATATATTATTTTCATTCTCATTACATTTGGATATATATATATATATATATGAAAGAAAAATACAGAAAAAACAAAATTCTGAATATGCATTATTAATGTTAAAATAAAGTCGACGTCGGACGTTTCGGTCTATTTAAGACCATCTTCATGGACATTTTCATTTAAACATAATTAACATTATAACTTATAACAATTTAACACAAAAGACGATGGACATAAGACTTTATTTTAACATTAATAATGCATATTCAGAATTTTGTTTTTTCTGTATTTTTCTTTCATACTGTCGGATTTATATCCATATATTTGCTTACATATATATATATATATATATATATATATATATATATATATATATATATATATAATAAATGTATAATAAATGTTATTTTAGTGGATACTTGTATTTGAGTAGATACTCCATTTATTTATTAACAGTATATTTATTTATTTTTGTCTACCGCAGCCTGAATATTCGAGAAATCTTATTAAAGAAAAATTTGTGCTCTCTGGCATGATTTGAACCATTTGTGTTTTATTTAAAAAAAATCATTTCATAAAAAAGAAAAGGAAAAAAAAGCCTGTTTTCATGCATGGAAGGGTTGACCAATAACTCTGTAAAAAGTCAGAACAAGACCCCCACCCCCTCTTAAATGGTAAAAAAAATCAATAATATTCGATTTTGACAAGTGTCACAGCCTAAGGGACGTCCAAAGAATGCTAATATAAAGAAATTTTTTCTAAAAATCTTCTTCCTATTTTTTTGACAAATGGACCACTCTATTTAATTAGTACCATAAGAGATATTTACAATGTTACTGAAGATAAGAACTCACATTGATTTGCAGTGTGCCTTCAAGTCGAAATGTCTCCATTGATGATGAGAAATTGTATTGAAGCTTTTGCTTTGTAAATGACAAGGTTTATAGACCTTTTCTGTTTGACTGTAATTGTTTTTAAGACGATAATTTGTGTCTTGTTCTCTGTCTCTTTAATAAATCATCCTTTTGACGACATCTAATTAATGACAAATTCTTCTGTGTCAGGTTGTCAACAGCAAGTGGGCAAGTGAATTGACAAATCGTCGAGAGATGCAGAAACGCGAGTACCGTGAATGGGTGATGAAAGTACATGAAGACACACAGACAAGTGTCGGAACCCCAACATACGCGTGAGTAAATAGTTACAAACAAAATGGGGTGGTAGGGAAGTATTTTCTAACTTCCAACCTTGTCATCTAATCAACACCTTTATCCACTGTGCCATGTGTCATCAAGGTTAGATCCAGTGACAAGACCCAAAGATTGTGAGTTCAATACCTGGTTAAGGCAGTGGAGAACTTGGAGGGGGGAATTAACAGGAGATAACTGATAACTGACATCCATTTAACATGGCATGTCGAACTAGAACTGTCTACCCCAGTGAGCAAAATAAAGGGTTCAGTTTGACATTCCAACTACCTGAAGAAGGCCGGAGTGTACAACGGCCGAAACGTTGTGATAAATATGGCGACAAAGATGAGGACAATAGTCCGAATAATGTAAATTTGAAGTCAATATACCTGTTCTACAATATATTTTATATAGTAATACATCTTACTTATTATAAAACGCAGATTGTGTGTGTGCGTGTGTGTGTGTGTGTGTCTGTAACGTTTATATATTGAATCGGATTTCCTACATTTTTCAACCAATTTCAACAAAACTTCACAGGACTACATAAAATTACCTTGTGGTGGTTCTAACAGCGCCAAAAATGGGAAAAATATGATTGTTTTTGCACAAAATCAATTTGAAAACATGATTAAGAGACATCGTGAAAATGGAGGGGGGACAACTCACATCGGGTTGTTTGTGTGTGTGTGTGTGTTCCTTTAAATATGGGAGCAGATTTCCTATATTTTTCAGCCGATAAACAAAACTTCACTTTTTTTTTTTTTGGCAGGTAGTGTTTCTTATTCTCTTGCACACTTTTTTCTTTATTTTTAACATTCAGAATGCTTTAAAAATTCCATTTACAAGACAATTATTTATAATAAAATTCTATTCAATTGGGAGACTCATAACGATTGAAAACAATGTTTTTGTTTGAGTTTGGGTTTGACCAATTCGTAAAAAAAAAAAACTAATTAAGACATGCATGTCCGTCAACCTTAAACAATAATCGTCAATTTTATTTTTCAATCTTTATGATGGTGGATACTTGATCTATCTCTTACTGTTATATCCCCGGGCAACGCCGGGCTCTACTGCTAGTAGTATATATACTTTAGTATATATTAAAATCGACACCGCTAAATATCTTCTTTTCATTGTAGTAGTTATTGGTTCGGACTTTGTGATGTCATTTGCGGCTGTGTGCCATTGGAAATTGCTTGGTGTTCCATGTGTGGCATGTGTGCTGAGCCCTGTATTAAAACATAGATGCTATAGCCATTGCCAGTAACTACCAGAAAAAGAATAATACTTTCTTTTTAATTTCTTTACCTTCAGAGTCTTATTTTTTATCCAAGCATTTCAGCTGGTATACTGTTCAACCATTTTTGGGTGTTATATTTAGACAGAAGCCTGAAGATAGTTGGTAGGTATAGTGGCCGAAATGACATAATAATAAAAAAAAATAACAAAGATGGGGAAATCTGTCCAAAGGTATCCTTAGACAAGTCTGGCACAGGGCCACTGTGAAGCAATTAAAAAATCAAACATACCACACTAGTGAAAATGTTTTTAACTTTGTATGACACAAGGTCATAGTGTGGTACCTACGAGACTTGAACTCTGAATATTAACAAACTGATCTGTAACACAAACTTGTTAATCCTTATACTATAGCAAGAATCTATCTGTATAAGCCTGGTTTAAATAAAAATGGCTGTGTTTATATCACACCTCCTTATCATGAATTTTCATTCTTAACAACTTCAGTACAAACATTTCTTTTCACTGACATGTGTCGGCCAAGAATAGAAAGATAGGGATTCTCCAGAGACTAAAAGCCGAAACTGAAAAATAGGTTTTAGTCACAGGAGAGTACAGACGATGAAACAAAGATAAGGTACAAATTTAAAAAAGCGTGTAGTAATTAAAGACCTCTCATACTTTATAGATAAAAATGGAAAAAATATTAGTGTATTTTTCTGCTGAGTGTGCTAATTGCATGATAATCCAAAGAAACTCTTTTGCAATGACAAGATTGAGTCACCAAAGATACATTCAGCTAAACCCTCATCACACTTTTTATCAATTTTTTTTTTTTTAGCATTTCACCCCAGGCAAGGTGGGAGTGCCACTAGCATGCAAGGGGTTACAGAGGGTCGAGAACAAGAGTAAAGAGGCGTGGTGTTTGGAGTGAGGATAAGGAGAAGGACGGGGTACAAGGTCAAGGTATCAGAAGATGGCAATTTGTATGACATAATTGGTAAAACTTAAATATGCCCACAAAAAAAAAAAAAAAAAAACTGTGTCAAAAAGACAACTTTTCTCTTGACACCATTATTACTGTATACACTCTCAGGAATTTTTACTGTTTTGAAAAATTATTTTTAGAATTTTAATAGACTACAAAAACTCAAGAAGATAATGAAGGAAAGCAAGAAGAAAGGACTAAACATCATTTGCAAGAAGACAGAATGCATGGTTGTTAGCAAAAGGAACGGCTCACTAGGTGAATTACAAATTGGAGATATCAAAATCAGACAAGTACAATAATTTAAATATCTGGGAAGTGTTTTAACAGAGGATGGAAATGTGATTGGGATAGCAAAAGATGCCTTCCAAAAGTTAAGCAAAGTATTAAGAAACAGGAAAGTTTTGTTAGAAAAAAAGAATTGAATACTGAACTGTTGTGTAATATCAGTTCTCCTATATGACAGTAAATGTTGGACAAGAGACTTGAGTGAACAGAAATGTGGTTCTACAGAAGGATGCTGAGAACACCATGGACAAAACATGTGAGCAACGACAAAGTTTTTGAGAAAATGGAAACAAAAGGAAACCTATACTTAACATCAGAAAGAGATAGTTGAAATTTATATGGCACATAATGAGGAAAGAAGGCTTGGAAAATTTAATACTCACAGGACAGATTGAAGGCAAGAGGGACAGAGGAAAACAATGTATAACACTTAGTGAGCTTGTGTCTGTTGGCATAACAGGGTTTAGAAGAGAAAACAAATAAGCAAAATTTTTAAGATCTACAAAGGATAGGAAATTGTGGAGAGCTATGTTTGCTAATAGCTTGAAGGGATGCAGCACATAGAAGAAGAAGAATAAACCAAAACATATGAAACTGATACGATAAATAATGAAGTTTCCATTATAATTAGTTCACATATTTTTATGATTTTATAAATATGAAGTTTGATCAGGAAAAATTGGGACTGTTGCTATGGTAACAGGGGTAAAGTACTCAGAGTAAAGCCACTTGGCACAGATAGATGTTGAACTCTGTCCAGCATACAAACTAAGTCATAACATTCTCAATCCCTTTTGTTGTTTATAGCAGTGCTCGGCAGGAAAGTGTGTAGAGTGTGCTCGTCTTACTATATCACAGAAGTTCCATCAGTGACCATGGCCAAGCACAACATTTTCCAGGTTTTGTGACCTACTAAATGAAACTTTTGTAAATATCTGTGTACCTTGGTATCGAACAAGCTTATCTCACAAACCGTTACTTTGGCATTGGGTTCTACTCTTACTGAGTGCCTTATACTTTTGTCCATGTGACATACTAAAGTTTAGTGAATGCCTGTTTGATCAAAGATTTTTTTATGTACTGTATTTGATGGCATATAAGACGCACCCCAATTTCAGCAGGGCAAATCAAGAAAAAATTAGTAAATTAGTAAAATTATTAGTAAATGGTACAGCCTAGGCTATATTTATGTGGTATTATTTTGGTTAAACAAGCCATGATTAAAATTAAATGAGAAATAATAGGAAAAAAAATACGTGCCTATAAAAACTTTATTATATCCTATATATGATGTGTACAACCTGCATCTTGTAAACGTCTTATTGGAATAATTAGGATATAAAAATTCTGATAGTATTTATATCAGTGCAACCAGAAGTTATCGTAAAAAAAATATTAATGAAACAAATATATTTTACAAATATATAATTTGAATTTATTGCATATAATTTTAGTGAAACAAAGTACTAATATTAAATGTGATGGAATTAATATAATGAATATTATCAATGATAACATTTTTAATCTGCATAATAGCCTTTTAAATAATGACAATAGGTATATGAAAGTTACTCTAAAGTCTAAGCTAATAGGAGTTGCCAGGTAGCCGACTCGTGAATTTTAAACCTACATATGGCATATAAGATGCAGGGGAATTTTAAAAGATATTTTTAGTAAAAAAAGTACACTTTATATGTTGTCAAATATGGTAAGTTGGAAACTATTCTACAACCAGCAACAGGACAGTCGTTAAAGATGCAGGACACACTCCGCTGACGGCAATGTCAATGTCATGTTACATTTACCTGTAGTAAGCTTCACTAGGGAATAATGAGTTGTGAATGCTACCACACCATTCATAATCAGTTCTCACTATGTTGCAACTAGCCATGCTACAATCTATTTTCTGCTATGTTGCAATTGATGTGTTTACCTGTCAAATTGAGTATTTGACAGGCCTGTGGTAAAACTTTTAGCTGAAAATAAATTCAAATCACAAGGCCATTCTGATAATAACAAACAATTATTTATTATTGGTGATTACTACACTATTCAATCATCTTTTTTCTTTTTGTTTTTAGCTTGAGCAAATGCTAGTCTCTCACAAGGATTCCTTTCTTTTTAGGACTTTTTTACTATCAATGATCAGTCCAACAATAGTAATGCTTTTTTTTGTCTCCGTTCTTTCTAGTCAGTTTATTCATTTTTGAATCCACCATGATACAGAATACTCTAATACAGAATGCTATGGACTCACCTCTATTCTAATTGCTGCAAAAAATAACTCTATATCTCTAACGGCCAGGAGACGAAACAGACCTTAATGACTGACTTGGATAGCACTCTCCAAGTGCCTAGGGGTATGGGCCTTTCTGTTCATAAAGTTTTTGGACACTGGAATTTTTATGCAAGCTATTTCTTCAGACAAAGAGATTCTCTTGGCAAAAACCAGTTGCCCTTAACTGGCTAGCAGGGGCCTTTGCTAGAGAAACCCATAAATATATTTCTTCATTTTCAAAGTCAATCTACATGTATTTTGGTTGAATAGGAAAATATTCAGACAATTTTTGGTTGTTTGTTCATTTGAAGATTGAGATATATTCCCACTCTTTTAAATTTAGACTCTCGCCAATTCCAATTTCAAAGACTTAAACAATTATTTTTTATATGTTCTAATTGCCCATTTTGTTTGGTTTCTTATGCCTTTTTATTTTTTTTTCAAATTTCGGTATCCTCCTATTCACTTTCATTTATTTAGCGTAGCAACTTTGGCAATCTTTAACCTTCAAAAAACAGTGTGTCAAAATGACCTCCCCCCTTTACAAAAATAATTTTTTATTTACAACATTTTAAAAACTAATACAATTGTATTAAAACTAATGCAATGTAATATTTATCATTTACCAATTTATAAAGAAATAAATATGAAAACAAGTTTTTATTCATAAATTTATAATCATTTACTACATTATTAAAATATGTGAACCAACTATAAGGAAATGCTTATTGTTTACCATTTTATAAAGTGCCAATTGATTGATAATTAGCCAGTGTTTTGCCAACCATTCCAATAAGCAACCCAATAAATAAATAGTGTTTATTATTTTTTATGTTATTTTGAAAATGTATAAATTCACTTTCATCATATGTTTAGGTTTTATTAAAATTCTAATCATCATTTTTTAAAACAATAAACATTACCAATGAGTGAAGGTAGTTAATAGCGGTGTCAAGGGGAAAAAACTTTTCTTTTAAGACACCATTTTTTTGGCAGGCAGAAGGGTTAAAGATTGCTAACATTTCTCTGATAAGTAAATCAATATAAATTACTAGCAGTAGAGCCCGGTGTTGCCCAGGGATGTAACAGTAAGATCAAGTATCGACCATCATAAAGACTGAAAAATAAAATTGGCAAAGATTATTGTTTAAGGTTGACAGACACGCATGTCTTTATTCGTTTTTTTTTTGTTTTTTTTTGTTTTTTTTTTAACGAATTGGTCAAACCCAAACTCAAACAAAAACATTGTTTTCAATCGTTATGAGTCTACCAATTGAATAGAATTTTATTATAAACAATTGTCTTATAAATGGAATTTTTAAAGCATTCTGAATGTAAAAATAAAGAAAAAAGTGTGCAAGACAATAAGAAACACTACCTGCCAAAAAAAAAAGTGAAGTTTTGTTGAAATCGGTTGAAAAATGTAGGAAATCCGATCCCATATATAAATGAACACACACACACACACACACACACACACACACACACAAACAACCTGGGTTTTATAATAAGTATAACTCGATATGAGTTGTCCCCCTTTCATTCCATGAAAGCGATGCCTCTTAATCGTGTTTTCAAATTGATTTTGTGCAAAAACAATTGTGTTTTTCCAATTTTTGGTGCTGTCAGAATCACCGCAAGGTAATTTTACGCAGTCCTGTGAAGTTTTGTTGAAATTGGTTGAAAAATGTAGGAAATCTGATCCAATATATAAACGTACAGACACACACGCACACACACACACAACCTGGGTTTTATAATAAGTATGATTTGAACATTGTTGTACTTTATGTTTGTAAAATCTTTTTCTCTAACTTCTGTATTTGCAGTCAACGTATCCGAGCTATGACCAACTCAATGCTTCCAGAAGCAGTGGAGGAGGAACGTATTGGGGGATCTAGAGCAAGACTTGAAGAAAGTTTCACTATTCACTTGGGTGAGTTTGAATTTCACATGATTTAAATATCAGTTACTAGGCAACTGAGTAATTACTAAATTGACTTTGACATTTTTTATTTCACTATCATTAGCCACTGTGAGTTCACTGCTGGAAAAAGGCTTTTCTCAAATCCTGACTGCTATTGTCTGCCATGTTTTAACCAGCAAACTCCTTAATGGAGTTGAAATTCCTTGTTCTCTGTCCTTAATAGTGTTTTTTTTCTCATATCTTTGAACGTTCAGCAAGCTCTTTGTGTCTTAGTGGTTTTATTGACTTGCTTGGAGTGAAATGACTAAAAGAAAAAAAAATAAATATAAACATCAGTTATTAGGTAATTGCATAATTACTGTATTACCTCCCTTTGACATTTTTATTTTATCATCATAGCCATTGATAAAATCACGGCTGGAAAAAGGCTTTCCAACACTCCTTCCATGACATCCATAGCTGTGTTATTGTCTGTCATGATTTAACCAGCAAACTCCTTAATAGAAGTTAAAAGGAAACTCTTTGTTCTTTCTCCTTAACAGTGTTTTTTTTTTCTCATCCTTAAACATTCATTAACCACCATAGAGTCTTATTGGCTTTATTGCCTTGCTTTAAAAACTCCTCTATCTTATTTTTCCATCTTCTGTTTGATCTTTTCCCCCCACATTTTCTATCTGTTTAATTATTTATTGATTTCACCAAACATTAATTGGTGAAATTAAAGACAAATGTCACAGCTTTTCCATTTACTTCCTAAAGATATGTTATTGGTTATGTTATGATTTCTATACACTTGTCATATTCATTTTTTTTCTTTTAACTATATAAACAGTGAAACTTCTTTTACACTTCTCATTTGTAAAATTCTCTTCTAGCCTCTTGTTTTCCACTCAAATTTGATCTTCAAAAACTTAAATGCAGTGTCAATCGTTGTCTTCTTAATTCCTATTCTTTTATTTTTCTTTCTACCTATTAATTTTTTCTTTTTCTCATATTCTTTCACACTCAGTAACCCTTTGCATCTTGGTGGCTTTATTGCCTTGCTTGAAGTAAAATGATTAAAAAAAACTACAAAAACTTTTTCTCATATTTTTTCACACTCAGTAACCCTTTGCATCTAAGTGGCTTTATTGCCTTGCTTGAAGTAAAATGATTAAAAAAAACTACAAAAACTTTTTCTCATATTTTTTCACACTCAGTAACCCTTTGCATCTAAGTGGCTTTATTGCCTTGCTTGGAGTGAAATGATTAAAAAAAATCCTCAAGAAAGAATTCATTTGTTTTATTGATTCTATTACAACAGTCAGGTCATTATGCAAGCATTCTCTGACTTTGTAATAAAAAGCAACAAAAATAACTATGTCATTCGTTGAGAAGCCCCCATATGTCATTATAGGGATTCCAGTTGTGTACTAGGAGACGCAAGGTGTTATTCTATGTGTTCCCATTGTTTCTATCTGACTCAGAATAGTTACATCTCTGACGATCACATAGCATAAAACACAGATTAATGATTTAGCTCTGAGTCCCTAGGTGCTGTATCATTTGCTAGTATTACTGCTCTGTTTCAGTTTAATTTCAAGAGGCTTTGAGCACTTTAGGTTTTTGTGTAGGTTGGTGTGTGTCTTTTTTCTTTTTGTGTTTTCTTTCCCTTCTTTTATATACATATATATATACACTGCATGCCAAATTATTATCAAGATAACTTTTTTTCTAATATTTCAAAAACCATCCAATCAATTCACACAAAATTTTCACACAATGTTGGCAACACTGAACTGTGTAATCGCTGAAATTTTTGTACTGATCTGCACAATGTAAACAAACTGGCACCATATTTGTTATCAGCACAGTGATTTGAGCATGCCAAATTATTAGAAAAGTATAAGAATTTAGTGAAAAGATGGGCCGTAAAAAGCAGTTTACTTAGATGCTGAAAAGAAAACTATTAGCTCAGAACTTTCAATAAGTAAATCTACCCTGGAAATTTTTAAAATGAAGGGAAGTGTGAAATAGTGAAAAATTCACCGCTGACCCTACACAAGTACGCAAAAGGGCATATAAAGGCAAGCTGAGGGTTATTTCATGTTGTCTCATGTCACAACTTAAAAGAGAGGCCACGAAGAACCCTGGACTTACCAGTCAAGAGCTTTTCAGTTGTATTGGGGATCCTACTGTGTCTAAAAGTACTCGGTGTCGGTATCTGAGGGAAATAGCAACAACAGTCAAACCTGTATCGAAGCCTCCGTTGACAAGAAAAATTGATTGAAATGGGCTGAGGACAATATGAAGATTGACTTCTCTAAAGTTTTGTTCACAGACGAAACTCGAGTAACACGTTGTGCCAGATAGATGGTTCAAAGGCTGGGTAATGAACGGACAGAATCGCCATCAGTGTTTGAGACGCCAACAAGGCGGTGGAGGCATAATGATCTGGGGTGGTATTATTGGAAACGCATTAGTGGGCCCATGGAGAGTACCAGATGGCATCAAAATGACTGCTGATGCATACATAGCATTTATGAAGGAGCATCTTGAACCGTGGATGAAAAGGAAAAGAGTTGCCTTCAGAAGAGCCATTGTTTTTTATGCAAGATAATGCTCCCTCACATGCTGCTCACAAGACTACTGGATATTTGAAACAGTTAGGCTTTGATGGACCTTGAAAAATGAAGTGGCCAGCAAATTCTCCGGATTTGAACCCAATCGAAAACCATTGGAGTATCACGAAGCGAAGACTGTACGCCAACGGACGACAATTCAGGAGCAACACTGAGTTATGGGAAGCAATTCTTGACATATCTCGTGGCATTACAACAGATGACATCCTACAATTAACAAATTCTATGGATCATCAACTTTTTCAAGTAATTTCAAAACAGGGAAAGCACATTCCCTATTACTTTGTTTAAAACTGTGCTTTTGTTTGTACCTGTTATTAATTGTTTGATTATCTTATTTATTAGCTTCTTTTGATCATAAACATTCACGTTCAACATTAATAAACATTTTGTTTGCTCAATTCTGGGAATTTTACTAAACCTTTCTAATAATTTGGCATGCTCAAATCACTGTGCTGATAACAAATATTGTGCCAGTTTGTTTACATTGCACAGATAAGTATGAAAATTTCAGTGATTGCGCAGGTCAGTGTTGCCAACATTGTGTGAAAATTTTGTGTGAAATGATTGGACGGTTTTTGAAATATTAAAAAAAAAAGTTATCTCAATAATAATTTGACACACACACACATCAATCAGCCGCAGACTATCTGAGAACTCATCTAACATGCAAATTTTCAATAGCAAAATAGCACCATACAACGAAGCACTAAAAGCAAGTGGTTACACACAACAACTACAATATATACCTCCACAGCCAAAACGCAGAAACAGAAAGAGAAACATTATCTGGTTTAACCCACCATATAACAAAACTGTTAAAACGAACATAGGCAAAATATTCCTAAACTTAATAGAAAAACACTTCACTGAAGAAAACAAATTATCAAAAATATTTAACAAAAAATAACGTAAAGATCAGTTACAGCTGTACAAAAAACAAAAAAAAAAACATAACAGATATAATCAAAAAAACCACAACAAAAAAATGACAACCTACAAAAAAATGTAACCAAGGATCCTATATGCAACTGCAGAAACAGAGCAACATGTCCACTCAGGGGAAATTGCCAAATTACGAACACAATATACAAGGCCAAGGTAAGTACAAACAACAACACTATGCACTACATCGGTTGCCACAAGGTCCATTCAAGATGAGGAATAACAATCACAACCTTTCATTCAACAACAGGAAATATTCGAACAGCACAACACTTTCTACATACATATGGCAGCAAAAAGACAAAAACATCACACCAACAATAAGTTGGGAAATATTGAAAAAAAAAGCCCCTGCCTACAACAACATTACGAAAAAATGCCTACTTTGCCTACACGAAAAAAGTAGCAATAATATCACACAAACCATAAAAAGAACTTGCTAAACAAAAAATCAGAGATAATCTCCAAATGTAGGCATGAGAACAAGTATCTATTATCCGAATTCATACCAAACGGATAAAACAGACAAACCACCAACAATCACAATTTAATTTCAAGATACCATCAAAATAATTGCACCTATCATTATTATAATTGCACCACCATTAGTAATCACTTTTACCACCTTACAATATCTATTAACTATCAATATTATCATTACCACCTACACACAGCACCATCACTTACACATCACACCCACTATTAACATATAATCCACTACAATCTTTATTACCCCCCTCCAGCATATTTAATACTTTAAAACAATATGATCAGATATAATTTCCATATGTAACCATGAGAACAAACACCTATTACCAGGCAGCTTTAATATAATAATAATAATTTTGTAATTAAAATTATAGCAATCTTCAACTACCATAATTTTACATAGAATACCTATTATCAGGATTTATACCAAAATAAATTAATACATATAACAAAATAAAACAAAATAAAAACACCAACAACCACTTTTTAGTTCAAGCTACCACCACTATAACTACATTCATGGTTTTATCATTCTCCCACCACCGTTACTAATCATTTCTACCAATCTGCAATTTCTTCCAGTTTACAATAACTATTAGCTAAAACCTAAATAGCATTGTCTTCAATCCTTTGAAACATTACTATCACATCATATCATATAAACCCGTTATTAAATTAAACATCACCATATAAATTAAACAATAAGGATTAAAATTTTTACCTGTTACATATACACAGTCACCAAAAACAAACAAATAACCAGCTTTAAATATAACAAATAAACCCCCATTTTTTTTCAAAAATTTAAAAATAAATATAAATAATTTAATAATAATTTTTTACCTATCATAATTTTACACAAACCCCACCACAAATATATACATACATGCGAGAAAAAAATATTTTTCAACGGAAAAAAAAAAAAAAAAAATTTCATAATATGACATGGATACATTCACGAGACAATAACGAGACATTTCCGCCACACTTCCAATGTTTAAATTTCAACATTTCAACATACAAATGCGTATGTATAGACATAACACCACCCATTATACATACATGTGTCATAGCGAAACTGTCTACATATGTTTATATATATGTATGAGTCCCGACGGACGACCAAGTATGTATATGTATATGTGTCTGCATACATCGATGTTTTTGCGTTAATACGATGAATGACAAAACGACAAAATCTCCCCACCACTTCCACAATAACACCAATACACGCAATCTACATAAACCCAAATTTTTTAAAACAGTAATCAGTTTGTCTGACAATCGCTAAAGCGTGAAACCCAGGGTCACAAACTCACATCTATCCAACCAAATATGTTAGCTCTATCTCTGATATTGAGCGCTTTCTAATAAGTACCGCGCATATAATATATAAATAATTATACATATATATATATTTATTTATATTTATATTCACTTTTCACATATATATATATATATATATATATATATACAAGTTTTGTTGAAAACAACTAACAAGGTGCTGTGATTGAATTTTTTATATAATTTCTCATGTATTCATATCATTTTTTTCTTATAATTATATAAAAATTGCCCAAATGTTTTCTGAGTGCTTTTGGCTATACCATTAGCCATTATCAAGGATGAATTTTATTTTATTTTTAATTGAGTATATGCATTGTTTTATGTATGTATCTAAAGTTATAGGAATGTTTTATTTTCCAAACATGGTCAGCACATTGTGTCCATGTTCAAAGTTGATATTATTGAGTGTTTTATCAATATATGAACACAGGCACAATGTGCTGACTGTGTTTGAAAAATAAAACATTCCTATAATTCTAGATACATACACAAAACTATCCATATATTCAGTTAAAAGTAAAATAAAACTAATCCTTGATAATGGCTAAAAGTGTAGCCAAGAGTGCTTGGAAAACATATGGACACTTTTTATATATATAATTTATTTTCCGAAAAGAAAAAATTTATATGAACACATGAGAATTTATATAAAAAAATTCAACCACCACACCTTGTCAGTCGTTTTCAATTACACTTACATAAAAGAAGGAATTGCTGTCCAAATACACAATATATATGTGTGTGTGTTAGATGTAGTTGATCATTGGATCCTATTTAAAAGCACTCAGAATTTGCAGCCCTCAATATTTACACAAAGAGGATAAATATATTGAAAATATATTCAAGAGCCTTTAATACCCTATTTCATATTCAATGCAAAAGAAAAGGTTCATAAAATATTGCAAAATTAAAGAGCTGTCCTTCCTGACAAACAATATGGTTTCTGCTTCGCCTGGTCTACTGTTGACGTGCTTATGGCCATAGCTGAATTTGTATACCAAGCTCTTATAATAATAATGGCGGAGCTTGAGCTGTGGCTCTAGATATCTCTAAGGCATTTGATAGGGTTTGGCATGCCGGCCTTTGTAAGCTTCAGGGATACGGTATTACAGGATGATTATTTGATTTAATGCAATCATTCCTGACAAACTGTGAAAAGAAGGTCGTCTTAAACGGGTTTTCCTTGAGTTCCTTTCATATGAACGCTGGTGTTCCCCAAGGCTCTATCCTGGGTCCTTGTTATGTAGTGGTTTCACAGTGGAGGCTTGTATTTGTACTAAGTCGGTCTTAAAATAGGTTCAACATACAAAACGTTAGGAACTTGATATAATAGGTAATGACGCAGAGAAATCTAGTTGTGGTCGCTGATAGATGGTTCTTCTGACTAACGGTCGTCCAGCATCGACTGACTGACCCGATTGAGAGACTCCTACGTTACTCTTACTACTCCTACTTATTATAGGTGGGAGAGTCTATTAACTATAGAATAGGTGTGTTCCACTATAACAGTCCTACACTGTTTCTGATTTTCGTCAATGATCTTCCTGATGTCATCAGTTCCCAAGTAGGCATCTACACAGACAACACTACTATTTACTCCTGCCTCAATAGTAAATCCAGCTTTGCTGACAAAGCTAACCTGGCTGTTAGTCTTGAAAAGGACCTCCAATCTGTAGTTGACTGGAAATGGCTTTTAAACTTTAATGTCTCAAAAAGAAAACTGCTCTCGTTTACCCACTATAGAGAACCCTCCTTACCTCCTATCAGCATGGCTGATGCCCAACTCCATGAGAACGTCTCTCTCTGTATTTTCTTGGTCTCATGTTTTCTACTGACCTTAGGTGGAAAGTTGCTTCTCTGTGTCATACCAGGAGGTTTTTCTCATCTGAGTTCTTCCTTCAAATCTACCATTCGTCTTTGTAGTGAATACTGTTACCATATATGGTCTGGTGTCCCTGCTGTTCATCTCAAGGTCCTTGGCAAAATCCAAAGACGGATATGCAATGTGATAGGTCCTGATCTGGCATCTTATCTACAGTCACTTTCTCACAGATATAATGTAGCTTCCCTCTGTCTTTTCTACAAATATTTCATGGCAACTGCTATGATGAGCTACTTTCAGTGGTGCCCTAACTGTATGAATTTTGGCATCTTGGTCCCACCCTTTCACTGTCAAAACAGTTAAATGTAACCACCTCTTCTACTCCAACGGCTTCCTCTTTTGCACTTCCCGACAGTGGAACTCTCTTCTTCTTACTTGCTTCCCTGATAGCTATAATCTTCAAATATTCAATGTAATGTCAATTGACATCTTCTGATGCCTTGCTCTCACTCTCTGTAACCCTTTGCATGCTCACTAATATGCACTCCAACCTTGCTTGGGTTGAAATGCTTAAAAAAAAAAAAAAAAATATATATATATATATAATACTGCATTCTACTTAAAACTTGTGCAAGAATGAAGGGTATTCCACATCTCCTGCAACTGTTGCATGTGCACTTGTGACCTTCATGAAAAAGTCATGATATATATATATATAAAATTTTTTTGTTGTTGTTTTGTTTTCAGGCGCCCAAATGAAAACCACACACAACCTACGCTTAATTTGTGCTGATGTTCTTGATTTATGTCGTCATAAACCCCACACAGTTGGGTAAGGATATTTTAATTACTCTATTTGTCAACCCCAAATTTTATGGGTGCATTTTAATAACTTATTGCCCTTCATATGTTTGTATTATAGATAGGAGACTGAACACCAAAGGCATGCATTGTCCAGTTGCAGAGTCAAGATCTCAAAAATGGCCTTGTAAAATACTTCTCTTATTGGTTAGCAAATAAGACAATATTCATGTCTTTTAGATGAACCATTGTCATTAATGATTTTTGTTCAGTTTTTAAAAGATTTTTGTTTTGTTATAACAAAAATGAATTTGTTTTTACAGTCTATGGCTAAAAGGGATGAGAAATAAAAATTTAGCTTATAAGTTTTAAACTTGTATCTCCAATCTTTGTGAACATGTCTTACCTGGACTGTGCATTACACAATAGGCATTGTGGCCAGAAATTATATTTTTCAACTTTTTGTTTTCATATTATTTTTCATACAGGGTGTCTTAGAATTATCCATCTATTTCAATGAAATCAGACAAAATTTATGTTTATTAATTAATTATGATACAAAACAAATAGATTTATAAATCTTATGTAAAAACTTTATGTAAAATTTTCAACACATGCTTCATCAGTATCCCTGAAGATTTCAAATTTATCCTTAGTGTTGAGAAAGACATTTTGAAGAATTTCAGGAGTTCTCTCCTGCACTATTAACTGAATGCATTCTTTAAGCTTGGCTGAACTATTGATCTTTTGGCAATAAACTTTTGTTTTTCTGAAACCCAATGCAAAGAAATCAGTTTGCAGTGTCAACAAAGATGGATTCTTGTATATTAATTTTTAATAAGGTTCTGAAAGGGAATGAAAATTAAATTAGAAAAAAAGTAGAAAAATTATAACATTATACATAAAATTAGAAATTTATGCACTTTTAATACATATTAACCCTTTAAGCTCTGTGTTTCTGAACAATTTTAATCCTTCTGCCTGAGCCCCTGAGTCAAAATTCACAAATAATTGGTATGGAATGTTTCACGGTAGATATAAAAGTAGTTACAAGTGTTTACCCACCATTCAACTGGTGGTTGGGCATTAAGTCATTTTTCTCTACCAAGGGTAAAGTGGTGGCCAGGGTTCAAAGGCTTAAACATGATGAACATAAATAAAAGGAAATAAAAGTGAGTTTTTAAAAAATATGTCTTGATTTACTGAAATAGTTAATTCTGGAACACCCTGTCTTATCATTATAGTACTCCAGATCTCAATTAAAAAAAAAATACAAAATAATAATAACAAGTTAATAGGGGGCTCAGTTTGCCACATAAATTCATTGTAAATTGGTCCCCCCTATGGAAGCCAAAACAAAATATGCTTATACAGCGTGATTTCTGAAATTTTTCTATTTGAAATTCATAATCTGGAGTGCTTTATCATTAGTAGTATATGAAAAAGTTAAGAGTGTAGTGACTGGGGAAGTATCCTCTTGGGAGTCAGTTCTACAAAGCAGTAGTTGGTGAGAAGAAGCTGCTTGTATCTCACCAATCGAATACAAAGGGAATGAGGGTTGTTCACTACAATGTGTTCATGGGCCAACACTTTAAACCATTAGGCTATTGTCTTGTGAATTTGGGGATCACTGGTCCAAGCAGTGTGTATTTGGACTTGTTGGAAAACAGGGTAGGCAATAATGAGCAGTACTAAGAACAAGACGAGTTACCTCCCCTAGACATGCTCAGCAGAATGTGAACAATTTACTCTCATAGATTAAATAAATGGGTCAGTTCAAAATTATTTGAAGGTTATCCATTTTCAACATGCACCTGATGAAGGCCAGAGGATATAAAAGCTGAAACATGATAACAACAACAAAGATGAGGACAATAGTCCATGTGTAAATAATTTAAATAATAGTATTCTCTGTTTTATTTATTTTTTTAGCGGAGTGACCATTCCAGAACCCCAACGTCTCCAAACTGCTATGTCCCTATATTCGAATAATTTGTGTGGGCTGATTCTCCTGGTGGACAATCGACTCAACTCTTATACTGGTATCAAACGAGGTATGATTCAAGATATGCAACATTTGCCAACATTACTTTTAAATACTTACAAATTTTTTTTTTTTTTTTTTTTAAATGAATTTTAATTATTAAAGCTCTCTACAGCCTTCCATGCATCAAGATGAGATTCTGATAGTTGTTTGCCAATTTCATCTGCTGAATATGAAAATTGATTTCTGGAGTATTAAGATGGTCACTCATTTGTTATTGACCTGACAAAATGTTGCTTATCTTCAGTGTAAAGTGTTTTTTTTTTTTTATGTCATGCATATTAATTGTGAAATACCTTACAAAGATCTATTTAAAGAAACCTTTCCATAAAGTACAATATGTTTGTGTGCTAAACACCACTTGAATAGTCCTACAGCTTTCAAAAGGGGTGCTGTTCCTTGTCCTATATTAGGAATGTTGTGAAGGTTTCAAGCTGGCCTTAAAAGTCATGAAAGGGAAAAACATAAATAGGACATCAAGGATAGAACATGATATTGAATCCTCATACATTGAAAACAGGAGAGTCCATTATATATATATATATATATAAAATAGGAAAGAACTCGTTAGGTAAATAATCCAAAGTTCTTTAGTATTTTTGTTATTATTTTTAATATATATATATATATATATAATTATTTATATATTATATGTGCAGTACTTATTAGAAAGTGCTCAATATCAGGGAAAAATCTAACATATTTGGTTGGATTGATGTGAGTTTGTGACCCAGGATCACAAGCTCACATCACTCAACATATATATATATATATATATATATATATATATATATATATATATATAAACATTATATTTAGTATATATATATGTTTGAATAGACATCTCTATTTCTTAAATAAATTGATGTCTACTGGCTTGGGCATTTGTGAGTCTTTAAGAAAGAAAATGTGCCTTTCAACAGGGTTTGAATAAATATAATGTTTATTATAAGAGATAATGCCCAAAGATGAATCAAATCCATTAATTCCCATATATATATATATATATATACAGGAGACACGGTGGAGTAATGGATATTGGCTTGAATTAACGAATCGGAGAGCCGAGTTTGAATTCCAGTCAAATCCATTACATTCACTTACGTGCTAATACCCTTGGGAAAGGAATGAATCCTCTTCTCCCACCAGCTATGGGTAAATAGCAGGACAGACTGGGTTCTATAGCCTTGGATGGCAACTGGTCTAAGAGAAGGACAACTCTGAATTCAAAACCTGCGGAGGGTCGTTTGGGGACCTTGTGGCATGGAGTGCACCAGGTCTCTGTATTCGGCCCTTCAAAAAGGGTGGATGGTTCTGCACGAAACCTTCAACACTATAATCGAATCTCATATGCCGGTGTCGGGCTGTCAGTTTCCTGGGAACTGATCTGCTTGATCCTCGTACGTCGGATTCGACGGAAGAGTTGATATATATATATATATATAAACATACAGACACACACTCACAAACAGATGGCCTGAAGGATGTATTCAAGCTTGAAACAAATTGTTGCAAATTTGTGTTGACTACAGTGTTCAATCTATGTGTGTGCGTATATTTTAGCTCAGCGTCTCCTCTCCTTCATGTACACATGTGGTTACATCAATGTAAACATCACTTTAGTCCTAAAGGACAAAATGCGTTACATGCAAACTTTTTCCCCTTTGTCATAGATTTCCTGAAAACTCAATGTCTTTCTATCAAATGTTATTTGCTATTTTTAATAAAACTGGGTCAAAGTTTAACATTTGTACCTGCAATAAAAGTGCAGTAAAAGGATGTCTTTTTCACTATAATTGTATACTCATGTCTACTGTTTAAGAATTTCAATAAAAACCCAAACATCTGAAACTGAATTTATACATCTTCATTTTTCTTGAGAACTGACAACAAAAATGTTAGACACTATATATTTTATTGGGTTATTTATTTACAAGAATCATTTTACATTAACAAGTTTAGAAAGAATCTGTAAAATAACAACAATGCAATATTTACTATTTTACAAAGAAATAGCTCTGAAAACAGTTTTTTTATTCGTAAATTTAGAAAATGACTGTAAACAAGAAAATTTGAATAAATACATAACGACAAGTAATTATAATTATAAATTCTGAAAAAGTGCATCTTTGTGGTATTTCTTTTATTTGCTCTCAGGTTTATGGCCACATCACATTGAAAAATACCAATAAGCTAAGCAATGTTGAGCCTGGTCACTACCTAGATAGGTGACTGCTTTGGAATACCATGTGCTGTAATCTTGAATGTGCAGGTGGTGTCATGAATTATGGCTCAGAATTGTTAATCAGATACTTCCAATTCAAACTGGGAGTATTATATTCACTTATGCACAAATATCCATGGGAAAAGTATGAATCAAATTCTTCTCTCCTCAGTTATGGGTTAATTAGTAAAACTTGTATCACTAAATCATTATTATCTCAAAGAAAAAAAAATTCTTACAATATAAAAATATTTTTTGCTTTTAAATAACCTGCATAGCATTGACAAGTTCTTGACACAAATTCATTAAAATAGTTTGTAAGCATCTGAATTTGTACTTTTCTTTTTTTTGAGAATGACAACAAAAATGCTAAACACTATTAGACTGTTTAATTATGGTGTTCAACCTAAAGAATATTTGGCAAAACCATGACAAAGTACTTTGTAGGTCTTAGTAACAGATTTGCCAAGCTTCATACAAAATTCAATGCAGACGTATTGCTCAAACTTGTCAGCCATTAAAGTAAAGATTGCAGAACTGTTCCAATACAATGTTTACAAATGATTGAACATGAGCAGATAGCATCAAGCCTGTTGGCAGACTGACTCAGTAGAATGGGTACAAACAAATGTTAGTAGTTGTACACACATTTGTATTGAAGAGTACAATCGTAATGCCTAGAGTCTGGGAACTTTTCGCTACCACTTCGTATTCAGAATTGTTTGAAATCATCTACATTTCTATGTTTTCTTTTATGTGTCATTTAAGACATGGGTGATCGTGGCTCTCCACAACTTCCTTTTCTTTGTAGTTCTTAGCAATGTTTTTCTTTTTACTATCCCTCCCACTCACTATTCTGCCATTCATTTACAAAAGCTTGTTAGTCCCTGCACCTCTTGCTTTTTTTTTTAGTGATATTCACCCTGTATAAGGCCCAAGAGCCACTCGAGGTAGAGGGTTACAGAGTAAGAGGCAAAGTTTATTGGGATATATGGGGAAGATAACGGTTGAACCTAGACTTGAACAGGTTAAGATTGTAATGATCAGGGAAGCATCCTCTTGGGAGTCTGTTCCACAAAGCAGCAGGTTGTGGGAAGAATCTGCTTGAGTGGAACTTACTTCTCACCAATGGAATATGGAGGGAATATCCGCTACAATGTACATAACATGGCATGTCTTAGCCGTGAAGTTTAGTAATGGTGGAACATCTCACCAATGGAAAACAAAGCGAATGAAGGTGGTTTGTTACAATGTGGATGGCATGGCGGCTCTTAGTAGTGAAGTCAGAAGAGAATTTCACAAACAAGAACTTTGAGAGAAGAAACTGAGCTTACAGTTACATTTAGCCATTTCAACTGTAAAATGATGGGACCTAACCGCCAATCTAGTAGTATGCTTAAATTCACTCAAAGTAATTAGCATGAAAACATTTAGAAAAAAATGGCTAATAGAACTTATGCTCTATTTTTACAAAAAAGAGATATGAGCAAAAATGCAATAATTGCTGTCATATATATAGCCTGGAGCTAGTCAATCCTCACTGTCCAGCTATGATAGAGTTCAAAAGTGTTTTGCACATCCTTGTGGGTGATGAATTATTTTCTACCTTACAACCCTTTTCCTACAGACTTTGCTAGCCACTCAATACTCTATTGTTATTTTCATGGTAGATTTCTTGGGCAAACTTCATTACTTTGTTCCCCCAGTTCAGACCTTCATAGCTACTAACAATGTCACATACATGGAGTTCACTCATCCCCTTCATATTCCATTGGTAAAGAGGAAGTTCCACTCGAATAGCTTCTTTTCCAGAACTGCTGGACTATAGAACAGACTCTCAGAAAGACGCTTCCCTATTCACTACAATCTTAAACTCTTCAAGTTTACGGTCAATTCTACATAACTTCATAATAGGCACCACTTGTTCTTGCCTTGTAAGCTTTTACAACCACATCTAATTTAGCCACCTTGAGTGACTCTTGGGCCTTGTATCAAGTAAACAGGAGTAAAAAGAAAATTTGATTATCTTTGTCTTTCGTTTACTTTTGTCAGATTTTGCTCAGGTGTGTGAACAAGCGACTGATTTTCATTTTCCTGACTTGGAACAACAATTCACCCAGATTGAATCCAAGATGGGTGTGGCCAACGAGTGGAGGCTGATGCGCAAATTGTCTGACCCTGATGTCACTGACTCAATCAGTGTGAAAAGCTCAGGTAGCAGCAACAGTGATACACAGGTGAGATGGCTTGCATGAAATCTTCCCTCTCAAAATCAGGGATTTTATCCAAACAGTAAACAAATCAGGGAGTGTGTGTGTGTGTCTTTCAGCTTTTGAATTAGGTGAAAAGTGAGAAAGAGAGAACAGGTAGCTTATTCAAACATGCAAAATACAGGTGCAAGGAATATTTAAATGCGATGTTTCCACTTAAATATTTTCGCCCATATTTCGATCACAGAAAAATTTGGTTCAACCTGTATTTTGGGTATTGAAAAATTTGTTTACGTTATTTGCATTTGGAATAATGTCTTCATTTTTGTTGTTATAACATTTCGGCTATTGTGACCTTTGCCCTTCTTCAGGTGTCTGTTAATCTGAGTAACCTTCAGGGAATTTTATACTGCATCCATTATTTAATCTACAGGGGGAAGATTGTAACAACAACAGAGATGTAGATCTTAGCCTGAATACAAATAATGATAGCTCCTCATCCCAGAAATTCAAACTGAAAAATTTGGTTCAGCTTAAATGCTATTTTTCAGTTAAAATTTGGTTCAAACTGTCAGGAATAAAAGGAATGTCAGTGATTAAGGAGAAAAGTAGGTTTTATTGAAATGTTTTATTGAAATGTTTTATTGAAATGTTTTATTGAAATGTCGATACATTACTAATGATTTTAATATAGAAAAGCATTGGAAATTATGAAGGATTTACTGGTTGGGAATAAATGCAAATGTTACTGATAGAATAAGCATAAATATAAGTAGAATATAACATAAAAAATAAAAATATATATGTAAATTAGGGTTATGACCTTTTGTAAAATAATTGATTTCCTGTATCAAAATTTGATGAAGTTTCTAACTTCTGGAACCTTCTAGAACTTGTTTTTGTTTATTTGTAAGTTTCTATGTTATCCTATAGCTATAAACTGTTAAATGCATTAAAAAACACATAAGTACTATCCAGTTACATTATGAGCAAATTGAAAAAAAAAAGCTTCTGAAATATTTTGATTTTTACCCTGATTGCGTATATGGTAAAATCAAATTTTCAGTTTGGGGTGACATTTTTCATGAACTAAAACAAATTAATACATTTTTCATTACTTCTGAACAAAATTTCATTGATTTATAATACAGGAACATTCAAAAATGTTATAACTGTAATGTAAATAATATAAAATACAGTGACATCAAGTAAATAATATCTTATTATCCATATCTTGCAGCATGTGTCTTATATCCTGCCCAACTTAGCAGTTCTTACTTAATGGGGATAACAAATTTGCATATTTATTTTTAAAATTAAATTTCTGAAAAATAACAGTTTTATTAATAATTTCCAGGAATAAATGATTACTTTGTTGATGGCTTTTTATCATTAAGTTGCTTAGTTATTTAACTAAAGCCATTTTCTACACTAAAAGTGGTAACCACCTGAGCATTGAGATCACAGTTAAAAGTTAAAATTAAGTAAGCAAGGTTGATGATTCATTGATGGTATATTTTGAAAATCTAATAAATATTATAAAATGTTGTGTATAAAATAGACTGCTATAATGTTTAAACATATTGAACTGTTTTAATTACCATATTTTAGTCAATACTACTTTATGGTACATGTAAATATGAAGTGCAGGGAATAAAAGGAAAGCGACGACCCAGTGAACCCTGGGTATCAGTGTAATGGTTAGTAGTTTGGAATGAGAAATCAACAAGCTGATTGCAAATAACAGTTGAGTTTGTAGCCATCACTTTCACACCTTTTGAGAAAGGTATGAATCCATCGCTTCTATCACCCCCAGCTATGGGTTAAATAACTGGGCACTTTAGCCTAGGTTAGCAACCAGTCTAGTAGAAAGACAACTGTTAATTCAAAACTGGTTGGACATTGGGTTAGTAATACCACCCCATAAAAAACCTTACTACTGAAACCACAGCAGTAATGTCTAGCATGGTGTGGTGTGGCTGTGGCCCTATACTTTACAGAGGAGTGTACAGGACTATATCTATAAGACATACAGAAGAAAAAGTGTCATGTCATTTTTGTTTATTTATTTACTGAGAATGTTAACAAGTAACATCAAGATAGACATACAAATATCTGCAACTTTCTTTTTTGTTTTTGATATATTAGCCAAATACTGAAAGCCTAAAATGTTTTCTAAAATTAACTTCATTTAACCATTTCACTTTAAGCAAGGCAATAAAGCCACTAAGACATAAGGGGTTACTGAGAGTGAAAGAATCTGGGAAATATCATTATTGTGTAGAAATCAGAATAAAAGAACAGGTTTTACAAATAAAGATGACAATTGACATTGCATTTAAATTTTTGAGGATCATTGTTGACAGGAGAGAAAGAAGCCGGTAAAGAGTTCCACAAGCAAGAAGTGTGAGAGAAGAAACTATTAGAATAGAACTTACAGTTACATCATTTTACCATTGAAATTGCTAAATGTGACTGACTTATCAATTTAGTACTATGCTTAAATTCAAGAAGTTAATGTACCAAAGAGGAAAGCTCATCAGAACATTTGCCATGAAAATAATTATAGAGAATCTACATTATGATGGTGGGAAAATGATTGGAGCTGAGATGCCAGGTCAGGATTGATAACATTGCAGATTCTATTTTGTCAAAAATCTTTAGATACTAAATATTTTCTTTAATATTTAATAAATTAAAAATTTGGCTTAATTGAAATGGATGGGTAGGGGGGTGGATGATTCTTCCAAATTCTCCCTGTTAATTATTCTGCAATGTCTGTGATTTCATAAAAGCCGAATGGTGTTACACAATAAAAACTTAAAATGAAATCTGTTTTGTTCATTAGCAGGAGAAAACAGCCCGCCTCCAAACAGGAGATGTGTACATCACGAAACATTCCAACCTGTGTGAGGTACAAGTGGTATTTCACTTGGTAACAGACGACAGCATCCGCACATCTGAAATCACTTCACGTCATCCTGTCATTTTGGCCCTGCGGAATCTGCTTAAAGTCTGCTTCCGATATGACATCCTCACACTGACCATTCCGCTGCTGTTGTCCCATGAGATGACCGAGGTGAGTGCCTTTCGAGTTTCATTCTCTTCACTTCCTGGAGGGGTTCTCTCATATTGCTGTGCCATTATAAATTTCATATGCTGTACGTTTCATATACTGTATATTTGCATTAATTTCTTATGAATTAATCTGAAAGAAAATATAACTGATGCATTGATTTCACAAATAAAAAAAAAAAAATATGAATTATCTCAAGTTAGAGCCACTCATGTTGCAAATAGAATGTAAATGTTTCATGTATGAATCTGGGTGTGGCTGAACATTCAGCATCTCAATCGAAACGTTCAATATTTCAATCTGAATATTCCATGTCTCAACGGAAGACTTTTTTGTTATCAGTTTACTTCTTTTAAATATTGCGTTTTTTTTTTCATGTTGGGTTCCATTGCATTTGGCAGTTTAGGTGTGAGTTTATGTCTTCTAAGATTTTTGTTAATTAAACTGACAACATAACAAACAAAAAAAAAAAAAAAAAAAAAAAAAAGAACTTTAAAAATGGCTAGTGTAAGCCAAAGGTGCTTAGGTATGGGAAGTTTTATTTATAAATATGAACTGGAATCCAAAAAATTACTAAAAATATTTAAAAAGTAAATGAAAAATAATTAGCAATGAACTTTTGTTAGCTTTTAATAAAAAATGCATAAATATAAAAATGGCTGCCTAAATATATACAGTATATAAAATTTCAGATATAACTGAAAAATATCTGTAAAATGGCAATAGGAATGAAGACAAAAGGAAAACTTACCTTTGCTGATGTGTCTTGTCCTCTGATGAATTTTATCAAGGCAAATGTAAGGATTTTATTTTGCAATAAGTATTTATAAACAAAAGTAAAAATGTTGTTAATTTTTCAAAGAATGCTCATAAAAAAATTCAATGACCTTTCCAAACTTTTGTTTATTAGACATTAAATTATATCATTTCACAGCTTCCCTAATTTACCTTGACTTTCAGTTCACCTTATGTATATTTATGAGTTTAGTTAAATTTAAAAATTTTCCTTTTGTCTTTATTCGCATTATATATATATATATATATAACCGGAATCCTCAATGCACACACACAAGCAGAAAAAAAGCACTAGATGGCCGCTTTCTCCTTATTTGGGACTCATCAGCATTGTGCATTCTCTAATGACTCTGAGAGTCGAACCGGGACTTTTCTACTTGTGTGTGCGTTGAGGATTCTGGTTCTAGACATGATGAATTATTATGAATTTATACAAATCCCCTAACTATTAATCTATAATATATATATATATTCCAACTTGTGACAATAAGTTTTTGTGTGTGAGATTTTTTAATTGGATTTCATCTTTGGTTTTCTTAGGGAAACTTTCTAAATTACTGGCTACTTTGTATCATGTTAACTTGAGGTTAGTTCTTTAAAGATTTTCGTCTTTTCGGTTGGCTCAGTTTCCATTAATTTTGTTTTTTCTTTTGTTTTCAAAGTTTTCAGTAATTCGGAGATGATAAAAAATAGCATATGCAGTATTTTTGTTTTATTCAAGGAATATTTATGCGCATTTTTGTTTTTGTGCCTCAGGCTACTTCTCTTAAAATGAGTTGTGCTCATTGCCTCTGTGCATAAATAGGTGCAAATAATGGAACTTACCATTTTTAACTGTTTGATGATTTTGGTTACACGTGTACTTGTACTATTTTTAGTACAATCCAAAAAAGCATTATATATATATATAAAACACCAAAAACATCAAAATCGCTACATAATTACAGTCATGTTTCGATGCGTATCAATGCATCTCATCAGGCAATAGTAAATTACTGGCAAGAATGCTAAATAAGTTATATTGTTATATTTTGCTAAATTACTCCTCCTCACCACATTTTTATTTTTTAGTTAATGGCATTGTCCAGTTTGTATAATTTATGTATCCATTTATGTCTGGCTGTTGTTAGCTGCCAATTTAAGGGTCATGACCCATTTATAAAAAATAATTTTAAAATTTTTGCTTAGTTTAAATTTAACATAGGTTATATTCGATTGGTTGATCAGAGTAAAGCCCACAAACCGTATAGCCCCCCCCCGTTTCTTTTTTCATAATAAATTGTCCACTCACCAGTAATTTACAATTGTCTGGTGAAATGCATTGATACACATTGAAACATGATTGCAACTGTGTAGTGATTTTGACATGTTTTTGATGTAATATCCTAAAATAAAGAATATTGCTCTACTTTGTATTGCAAAGTCTTCTGACCTGGTGGGTTTATTTACCCTATGTAATGTTAGCACTTATGATGATGTTCATAATATAGGGTTTTACAGGGATGATGGTTTTGTGGTAGTACAAAATTCTACTAAAATTAAGGTTGACAATCCATAGAGAATTAAAAAGCTTAAAATTTAAGGTTAAGATAACTATTAATGTTAAATGAGAAGATTTTCTTTGATGTATTATATGAAAAATAATGCTAACCCAATATATATTCACTCCAATACTAACCACCCTCCATCTGTAATCAAAAATATACCCTCATCTACAGAATGTACGATAAGCAACCACTTATCTGACAAAGATATATTTGATAAATATAGTGGAGTTTATAATATTGTTTTAAAAAATAGTAGCAACAAGTACACTGAAATTAAGTATAGAATATATGATAATACTGATCTCAGGAAAAGGAATAGGAAAATCATTTAGTATCCAACTCTATTTAACCAATTGGTCAGTACCAAATTAGGCCAGAAGTTCCTTCATTTAATTGATAAACATTTCCCTAAAAGTAACCCTCTTAGTTTTAATGTGTTTGTTAAATAGTTTACTAAGTTATAGATGCACCGATAATCTTAAGATTATAAAGAAACACAATAATAAAATTTAAAAAATAATGCACATTCCAAGATAATACTGTTAATAATATTAACCAATGTAATTGCAAGAATTCTAATGAATGGCCATTTTGAAACCAATATTTAACCACCTCTCTTGTTTATATAAGTACTATTTCTACAATACAGAATCTGACTGTTGAAAAATTTTATATTAGTAGTACTAAGAATTCTTTTAAGACTAGGTGGTACTAATATATCTTATCCTTCACCAATAGTACTTATAAAAATAGTCAATATCTTTCTAAATATTTTTGGAATTTAAAAGAAGCTAATAAAAACTCCTAAGGTAAAATGGAAAAAAGCTAGAACTTCTACCATGCTAATTTCTTTCTAGAATTGTCTCCCCTGCCGTTTCATTTTTTTTTGATGATGCAAAAACATGATCACCTACTGTTTTAAAATTGTTATAACTTTGTATTGTGTGTATAGATTTTAATTTTTGTACACTAATAGAAGAATGAATAAGTAATATTTTGATGTAATGCATTACATTTTGCATGCATGTTTTGATGTTGAAAACAAAAAAATTGAAACACAAAATAAAAAAAGAATACATTAAAAAATACATAATTCAACTTTTATTACCCCTCGTGGAAGTTCTGGGGGTGCAATAAAAAGCAAAATCCCTAAGGCGGCTTTCATTTTGTCAAAAAAGTGACGCAATTCCTCTTGAAGTGAAGTGAAGACACTAGCATTTGTTTGCTTTCTTTCACCTGTCTCATATTTGTCTCATTGACAAATAAAAGTTATTATTTTGTCATTTATAAATAGACAAAATAATTCACCTTCAGAAAGCCTATCAAGGTATATCAATGGTTGCCAGTAGCTTCCATAAAATTAGTCAGGCATGGAAGATAGTAGCCTCTAGTGGTCATCATCACTTTCCTCCATGTCCCATCAAGTAAAGCCTTCAAAATCATCATTGGAGTCTTAATCAAAGAAAAACTCTTGAATAAAGGCTCTGTTGGATATTGATATGGCCATTTTTGTTTACAACAAAATTAATGAGGGTTTAAGCAGTGTTACACTTTGTGTAGTGTCAAGAAGAATTCAAAATGGCGTTGGAAAATGGAAGTTTAGCCTTGTTCCAAAGCAGTAGTAGGCGATTTCCGGCTAAAAATACTGGAAATAACAGTTGACAAGTGTTTATTTATAGCAACTGTTCCAAGGTGACAGAATGTGCCTAAAGTAGCAAAGGGAAAAAATTCTACGGCAACAGTTTTCGCCTGCAGTGTGGTAAAGGTTAAATGAACCCTGTTTTTTATGCTTACATGAGGCAATACAGATTTTATTAAACTAAAGTGAATTAATTGTAAATTTTAGACATAGTCTACTTTACAATATGGTTAAACTTTGAATTTGATAATACTTTTTCTTATTGTAATAATTAGTAGATGAACTGGAGTACATCTTACATGGCTTACTATTCTATTTGTAAAATTCATTTAGATTTTGGTTGCATATTAATTTGCCAAAGTAGTTTTGTATTTTGTTTTTGATTTCCTTTTTTAAACAGTTATTTACCAGTTTCTTAGAGAGGCCTTAACTACAAAATTTTATGTAAGAAGCTGACTGAGTATATAACTATTTAACATTAACTACCTCTTTTGCTTTAACTTCTTGTGAAAGTTGAATGTCATACTTCAATATATTTTATGAAATAATTTAACCATTTGTAACTTTCCCAAATTAAATTGTCTAGGATTTATATGCAGACAACTTCATGTCATGACCTATATAAAAAATTTTTTAAGGTTAGTTTGAATTTAGTGCTGGTCACATTGGATTGATTAAATTGCTTTGTTTTGTTTTTTTTTCGAAAAAAAGAAGTATTCTGCTTTTGAAATTAAATTAATTGTTTACTCACCAGTAATTTACCGTTGCCTGAGGAGACACATTTGTAGTGTTGAAACATGATTGCTATTGTGTAGTGATTTTTAACATGTTTTTTTTTTAATCTCCTATAATAAATAATGTTTAGCTCTACTCTGTATTGAGCCCTTTTTTAAATTAAATGTTACGGACAGTAGACTTATACTTCATTTGTTCTTATTTTACCTGGAGATATATATATATATATATATACACACACACCTCATATTCTTTCATACTCAGTAACCCCTTGCATCTTTATTGTCTTGCTTGGATTGAAATGATTATATATAAAGTTAAGTCATAAATAAATAATTTCTGCTTTTATCAATTTCATTCTTCAAAATATGAACCCTATTTACATTATTCGGACTATTCTCCTCATTTTTGTCGCCATATTTATTACGTTTTGGCCGTTCTTCAAGTGGTTGGAATTTCGAACTGAACCCTTTATTTTACTCACTGGGGTAGACTGTTCTAGTTCCACGTGCCATGTCTAATGGATGTCAGTTATCTCCTGTTAATTCTCCACTGTCTTAACCAGGTATTGAACTCACACTCTTTGGGTCTCTTGTCACTGGATTTAACCAACACCTTTATCCACTGTGCATTAGATCCAGTAACAAGACCCAAAGAGTGTGAGTTCAATACCAGGTTAAAAACAGTAGAAAAACTTGAGAGGGAATTAACAGGAGATAACTGACATCCATCAAACATGGCAAGTGGAACTAGAACAGTCTACCCCAGTAGAGTGAAATAAAAGGTTCAGTTGTAATAAAGATGAGGACAATAGTCTGAATATTGTAAAAATTCAACCTGCTCCATAAATATCTATGATCAATGTTATAACTATATTCTGCCACATCAATGAGACTTTGACCATAGTGAGACTTTCAGGACCAATTTGGGGTTGAGTGTGTTGAATGCTAAAGGGTTAAATTTGTTGCAAAAAAATGGAAATTACTTATGTAAATAAAAAGAAAGAACAGTAAGATATATAATCCGGTGTTCTTATACATATTTTTATTTTTACAAAATTAAAATATGTTTTTTTTTTGCTACACAGTTCTAACCATGTTTCAAAAATGGAAGCCGAAAGCTTTGAATTTAATTTTGTAATTAAATTAAAAACATTAGTTCCATTTCATTCTCAAGCGAATTTTGGAGTAACTTATTTTTAAATTTACTGAGTTTTAAAGGCATGACAAAAATTCATAATTCACTGTTTCCAAGGATACAGAGAAATCCATTCATCCAGACAAGGGGTGGTTGCATGTTTATTTTCATTAACTTTTGTTGTATCAGTTATTAGTTACGTTTAGGTAGGGGTAGGGATGTATTTTTCAACAAATTCTGACATTCGTTAAATGCATGTCATCTGGATTTTTAAAAAATTTTATTGTTAACGGAAAAAAATTCTTATGGCATATATATATATATATATATATATATAAAAAGTATACATACAGTAATAAGGAGTGCCAGAGAGACTTGAGGAGGTACTGAACAGTTCTTAGCCTGATCTTCCCAAAGTCTAACCAAATGAGAATGGATTTAAAGTAAAATTCTTTTGTTTAGCTATTTGGTCAGATTTTGGCAAGTGAATCAGGCATGTCTTCCTATAGCTAACTAATGTCATTTTTCTTTTTTTATGGGCAACTTCCCCATCAAAACAAATTAGAAACAAGAAGGAAGTTGTTGCTATTGTTGTATTAGAGTTACTGCTCTTGCACTGATAGTAGATTCTTTCTTTTTTAAACATTTAGTCATTGTGTAGTATGTAACTAATTGTTTGACAAAAAACTTGTAAAATCTGTGATGTGTACAGTTGGAAGAGTTAAACATAAAAAGGTGAAAATCTAGAGATTCCCATCACCATCTTATTTTCTTTTGAATGCTTCCACTTAAGAGGTAGGAAAATGTTGTAGTGTGTTTATTTACCAGTCACCTTGTGCATTTAGGATACTAATAACAATTTACAGTCACTAGTCTGTGAGTTGCCCTAATTCTCTTGTTTTTGTTGATTTACTTGATATCCTAAATATTTGGAGTTGGTGACACAGTCGCGTTTATTGATGATGCATTTCATGAATTTGCAGGAGATGACTGTGGCGTGGTGTTTAAAGCGAGTTGAATTGATCTTCAAATGTGTCAAAGGCTTCATGATGGAAATAGCAACATGGGGAGGCCAAGAATCACGAACAATCCAGTTTTTAGTTCCACCGGTAAGTACCAATTTCTTGATGTCTCACCCATCTGTCCGCATACCTGTAACAAAGTCACATGTTGGTCATTTCACTACTAGTCTATCTTGTATGTTAATTTGTTATTTGTATCGTCAAAGTGCCATTCATGCTTATATTAATGAACTAATAGTTCAAAACAGACTGGGTCTTATAGCCTTGGTTTGCAACCAGTATAGGAGAAGGAAAACTGAAAAGTAGAAAACCCAGAATATGTGGCAAGAAAACCAGTTTAGATAACACAAAACCAAAAATAATAAACCTACAAAAGACGAAATAAACTTATTAAAATTTAACCTAAAATATGACCTTATCAGACTAAAAGAAACATTTCTCATTAGTAAAAAATAAATTCAAATTCTTTCCAAACAAAAATAATACAAATGGACTAAATATTTTTTCTTTTTAAAAACACTGGAACCTCAGTCTACAAGAAAAATCCAAATCATTCAATAACCTTACATACAGACAAAGGCAGTGCTATAATGATCATAGACAAAATATACTAGAGGCACTAGCGGATAAGAACAACTATAAATTAATCAACACCAACATAGACAAAAATTAGAAAAAATCTGCACAAAAAAGGACTTCCTAATAAACTTCATTCCAAAAACAAACTATTTTTATTTTTACAGACTACTGAAAATTCACAAATTGAGTGAAATAAAAGCAGCTACCCAGACACAAAAATCTGAATATATTAACTTTCCAAATCCCAGTGACCTTATATTCAGACCCATAGTAGCAGAACCAACCTGTCCAACTAGCAGACTCAGTAACTTAATAGTCATCATACTACAACCATTTACTAAACAGATTAAGAGCTACATCAGAGACAATATCCACTTCTTTAAGTAGCCTACATAACAATATACCCCATGAATTAGGTAAACAGGCAATCTCATTCTGGATTGAAAAACCAAGAAATACTACATCCCAGATTCACCAAGGAATTCATTATTGATAATATAAACCTAATTTTGAACAACAACACTTTTAAATTTGACAACAAAAACTATATCCAAATCCTAAGTACTGCGATGGGAATGAAAATGACACCGACATATGCCACCCTAACCTTAGCTTATTTAGAGGAAAACCTCTGCAAAAAGAGAGAGCAAATATATATAAAAACCCATTTCACTAAATCTTGGAAGCGATACTTAGATGATTGCTTCATTTTCTGGAAATACTCATGCATTCTAGTTCAAAACTTACACCTGAAGAACAAAATTCAACCAAGAATATAATTTTAACAAACTGCCACTTATCAGAAGTAGAAGCAACCACATTATCACAAATATCTACCACAAACCTACAGACACCTAACAATATGTTCATTTCAAGAGCCATCAACCAAAAAGCTGTCTAAAATTCATCTCCTAGCACGTAAGGTTTGCACTATAGTGGCTGACTAACACCTCCAAAAAAATGCCTAGAACTACATAAAACTCAAAAAAAAAAAAAAAAGAAAAAAAAGGCTACCCCACAATGCTAATAAACAAAGGTTTTGAACTAGCAGAAAAAATACCTTCAGACTAACTATGAAATCGAAAGAAATGCAACATCGAACAAACTCTACCATATGTCTCAACATACAAGAACAATCCAAAACTAATTTACAGAAATTACAAGAAATCTAGACCTACTTAAGAATGAACAAGCAAAATAATTAAAAGCAAACTCCAATCTAATCTCATCCAAATTTAGCCAACACATAATACAGGAGGCAACAAAATGTGGGGTTTGTGATATCATCCCACAACAACATTCACAATAAAGAAAAACTTAAATTGCAATTCTGAAAAAGTGATTTGTGCACAAAATGCAAGAAGTCCTATATAGGCAACAGCGAAACACTAAACAAAGTTTCCCTTCACAAAAGCAACATCAAATTAACAGATAACAGAAAACACTTTGTATGAAAACACATCCAGAAATGCAACAAAGATAAATTTAAAGTTATGCTAAAATATCAAAACAGACAATTATTCTTACAAATACAAGAAAAAAAAAACTTCATAGACAAATTTAAACAAGTCATAACCGCACACACATAAACACACACTATACACACTTAATGGTCGAATACAAGTTGGACCACACAATACACAAAAATGGAGATAGTTATATAAAGATAAGAACAAAGACCTCCTCCGCCATTTCTCTGAGCAATCCTAATTGTTTTATTAGCCCTTAAACAGAAGAATATTTCCTTTAACTTGGTTTAGTTTTTTAAATTCCTTTCCTCCTTTTGTCAGAAAATAGATGATGCAGCTGGAGGCTAAACAAATCCTAACCTTGAAGACAATAGTAGTGGATACTTTTAAGTAATTATAGTTTACAAATGAGTCAATGCACCCGTCAATGGATAGCTAAAGTATAAGTTTTAAATTATGAAACAGAAAAGTGTATACACTATAATCACAATTAACTTTAGAATAATTCAAGAAAATGTTTTCACAACAAACTATCAATTGAAAGTTGTACACAGACAGACCCCCCTCCCCACCTCCACTGCTTGAGACAGAGCTACTTACAGTTTTCTTATGATCTTTCTTTTTTCTTTGCACAGGGAATGTCCGAGGAAATGTTTGCCAGTATTAGCAACATGCTTCCAAGTATTTTCCGATTGTCCAATCCACTCGTCGTCAAATCGGCATAACACTTCCCAAATCATTCTCAAGAAGATGCAGTCAACACAAAAAAAAAAAAGAAAATACTTAACTGGGCACCCAGAAGCTCTTATCACTCAAGCAAAGATAATTTATTCTTCTGAGCTGTTCCCCTCTATAAATGCTAGTAAATATATTGTGGTAATGATAATGACAAGGCTTTGTCTCATAAGAACTACAATTAAAATGCTAAGAAAGAAGGAGAAAAACAACAAGAACAACAAAAGAGTGTAAGAATTTGAGTCTTGCTCAACTCAGCAAAATTTTAAACTTTTTAAGCAATATGTGTTTGTAACAAATTTGAATATTTCTCTTGAATTTAGCAATAAATTTAACATTCTATTTACTTAACATTGTTCAAAAAGTTGTTTGAATTTTTTCTATTCTGACCTGCCAGCTATTTTACCCATAGCTGAAGGGAAGAAGAAAAGCATCAGTGCAAAAGCAAATACAACAGATTATAGTGGAATTTGGATTTAAAAAAAAAATCATTTCACCCCAAGTAAGGCAATAAAGCTACTAAGACGAAAGGAGGTACTTGTGAATATGAGAGAAATATACTATATATATATAACAATAAAAGAACAAGGATTAAGAAAACAAAGGATAACGGTTGACATTGATCTTCAAAAATTTGGGCACAAAGTTGACTGGGAAGCAAGAATCTGGAAGAGAATTCCGCAAGCTAGAAATGCAACAGAAGAAACTTATATGTCGTCATAAAGAAAGTTCATCAGAACAATTACCATGAATGCCTCCTCCCTGCAATCTTCAGAAATTTAAATGTAATGCCTATCACCATCTTGTGTTTTCTGAGTGGCATTATTAACTTGCTTGGGTTGAAATGATTATTAAAAAAAAAAAAAAATGCAGTCTTCATTTTGAGCCAAAAATGAAAGAAGAGAAAGAGGGCCATCAGGGTTGGCTGCTTCCAAAAGAAAGAAATAAAAAATATGTAAGCCAGGCCAGAATATGAAATCTTTCCTGATGGCCCTTTGGGAAAATATAAAATCTGTCACCATAAAATTATTCAATGATGTCATCAGCTTCTACAGAATCAAAAACAAGAGAAGCAAAGGAAAGCAGAGAGTCACCACCTAGTTGAGAAAATTTGATGAAAATCTCCAAAAAGAAGGACATAGATGAGTATTGCTGATAGCAACAAAAAACAGGAATCTGTGGAGGACCGTGATTGGAGTGAAAAAGCAACTTGACAAATTTGAATGAATGAATACCAGAAGGGCAAAGAGGGACCATAAACAAGCAAGTATTACTGCGAGCAGCCAAAAATGTGAAGCTGTGGTGAGCCACGATTACCCATGTCCTGAAGAGACATTGCACAGAAAACAACACAAAATTTAATGATTTTGAGCAAATGGATGAAATACCATGAAGACAAAGGAGGAAATATTACCAAGAACGACAAAAGACAAGAAGCTGTGGAGAACTATGATCGGCCACATCCTGAAGAGACTTAACAAAGAGAGAGAGAGACAGACACACAGCTTGGGTAGGTAAAGTAATTATGAGAGTGTGGGTTAAGTGCTCACTCACCCACCCTCCTCTGTTAGCTATCATGACATATCAGAGATATTTGGTCAAGGTATTTCGTGATAGGAAACTACAGGGAGAACTGGATTCATGCCTTTCGTAGAGGCCATTAAACCAAAATAAATATAAGCAATCTCAGCTGAAATTCATATGCAACTGATATCAACCTGTGCTGGAGTGTGTAGTTTAACAACTGAACCATTATTCTCCAAGGGAGGTAATAAAGTTTGAGTTACTCTCCAAGGGAATTAATAACAACTTTTTCTGTTACTCTTGTTAAGGGAGATAACTTGGTGATGACATTTATTCCAGTTAAATAAGTTAATACTATTTTTGTCCAATAATGATTGAGCTATTTGCATTTACATTTCATATACTAAACGTAACAACTATTATGAGACAGAACTAGTATATTTTTTACTAATACCAAAAAGAAAAGAGATTTAAAGATTTGCCAAGAATTGTTATAATTTGAGATTCTTCATAAAAATGTTGCTCTAGAGTTAGTTGAAAAAAAAAAAAAAAAAAAAATAGAATTCAATTTGTTCACAATCAAAAGTAGTGCTGAAGACATTAGGTTTATAAGTCCCAGAAATTCATACACAGATGTCTTCAAGGACACATGACACAATGGATAAAGGCATTAGTTAGATCCAGTGACAGGACCCAAAGAGTGTGAGTTTAATACCTGATTAACTTGGAGAGGGGAATTAACAGGAGATAACTGACATCCATTAGACATGGCATGTGGAACTAGAACAGTCTACCCTAGTGAGCGAAATAAAGGTTCAGTTCAACGTTCCAACCACCTGAAGAAGGCCGGAGTGTACAACGGCCAAAACGTTGTGATAAATATGGCAACAAAGATGAGGACAATAGTCTGAACAATGTAAATAGTGTACATAATACCTCTCTAATATCTCAGAAATATAGACAGATACTAAAAATAATTTAAATATTATATATGTTAGGCAGTCTTTGTAAAATGATAAACTGAGACAAGCTTGAAATGATGTGTAAATTTTATCTTTTTTATGTAAATTATAAGCTGATTAAATTCTATTTTCTTGCAATCGCAGGTTTCATTAATAATATTTACTACAAATAAGTTTTATTTTGTTCCAAGTTCATTGACTAATAATGATGTGTCTGTTGTTATTTAAGAGTATAAAATTTATTTTATCAAATTTAAATTGATTTTCATAATTATTAATATTTAAAGTATTATGATAAAGACAACAAAGATACTGATAAAAAAAAAATCAATGTATAATAGCAACACCTCATCTCAGAAACTGAAACAAAAAGGTCAGAGGGTATAGTGGTTAAAGGATTGTGATAAAGACAACAAAGATAAGGAAACTGGTAAAAAAAGAATGTATAATAGTCAGAAGTAATAGTTGCTAAAGGATTGTGATAAAAACAACCAAGATGAGGAAACTGGTCCAAAGAGAATCAGTGTATAATAGTAGCCTCACCTCATCATAGAAACTGAAGCAAAAAGTTTAGAGGATATATAGTGGCTAAAGGATTGTGATAAAGACAACAAAGATAAGGAAACTGGTCTAAAAAGTATCAGTGTATAATAGTAGCTTCATCTCATCAGAGAAATTGAAACAGAAGGGTATAGTGGTTATAGTGATAAAAGCAACAAAGATGAGGATATTGGTTGAAAAGTATCAACTTGTAATAGTATGAATGATATTAGCCAAATCAAAGCTAATGTAAATATTTGAAATCCAAAGTTTTCTTATTCTCAATTCAAAAAGAAGCATTACAAAATTTAAAAAGAAGAAAAAAAGACTCCTATTCATCAATGCTAGAATAGCATGAAAAGTTGTTGATCTTAATCTTCAAAGGTTATAAAAAAGCAGAAATGTCTTGGTTAACTTTTAACCCCCAAATGTTGTAAATAAGAGAAAACTGGATGATTGCTGATGAGGGCAGATGAAAAGAGTTTCAAAGTCACATATGAAATTACCTTGAAAGCTTGCGTCATCGAAATGGCATAGAGAACTGTTCTTTAATTTGATCGTCTGCTGTCAGGTAACCAGAATTTTTCAACACCAAATAAGCTTTGTCTGCCCTGCTCTTTAACAGGTCAGAGTTGTTGATGACCGATTCCAATTCTTCAATGTTCATTTCAAGCAACATACCTGAAGAAAGAGATTCAAAATAATTTTATAAGTTTGAATAAATTATATCTGCATGCACAGGTTGATTGTTTCCAATCCATTTAAACGAATTTTAAATCAAATAATGAGACTGGTATCAAAATTAAATTTCTCTTAAAAAAATTTAGAAGGATTAAAATGAATATGCCTAAATGCTTGGCACAACGGGGATTAGGAGAGATAGCAAAAAGACAATCCTTACTATTGTTGTAAGGGTGAATAGATGGTGTTATATTTCCAACATTTTGGAATCTTCTAAGTGCCATGGTTTGTTAGGATGTGGACGATCATGACTCTCCACAGTCTCGCATTCTTTATAGCCTTTAGTAAGATTTGTCCCTTTGGCAAGCCTCTTGCTCCCTGTTCTGCAATCTATTCACATCAGCTTGTCAGGTAGGTAGCACACTGCCTTCCCCTGAACATTTTGTCCTTGATATGCTCTGTGAGTGTCAAATTCTCCAAGCTCTCCTTCCTCATTGTGTCCAAGAAATTTCAGCTATTTCTCTCTGAATCTGAGTATAAGTGTCCTTTTTGTTTCCATTTTCCTTAAGACTTCATCACTGTTTATGCACTCAATCCATGGAATTCTCACTATTCTTTTGTAGAATCATATTTCTGTTACCTCCCATTTTCTCTTCATCTGTGAGGAGATTTTCTAACATTACCTGCCCTATAAGTGGATTGATATCACACAGTAGTCCAGCACTCTTTTCCTTGTTGATAAGCAAAATTTTCCTGTTTCTTAGTATTTTGCTTATCTTTTTGAATGTATCTTTCGATAATCCAATATGCATTTGGATTTCAGTGTTGTATTTGCCATCCTCTGTTAAAATACTTCTCAGATATTAAAATGTTTCTTCTTGTTTCATGTTGACATTTCCAATTTGTAGTTTACATCTTGGATTTTTGCTCTTCTGTCTTCTTACAGATGATTAGTCCTTTCTTCCTGCTTTCCTCTATTACCTTGTCTTGGAGATTCTGTAGTTTTCTTTCTGTGTCTGTCATGGCAATAAACAATATAAGGAATAGATATAAGCATGTGAAATAATACTTGATTTTCAATAGCTTTTGAGATATGTAATTTTAATTACACTAACATCAAATATTCAAATTTTTCAACAATTCGGCTTGGACTCCAGGGATTCAAATCTCTTAAGGGCCGATAGGGTTAATATTAAATACATGTTGAGAATCCTTTAACCAAAATTCTTGGGACTGGAACTGCTTCAGTTTTCAGATTTTTTTGATTTTGGAATACAGACTATTTAATTTGTATGTAGTATTTGTATGGGACAACCCAAGCATAAATACAATATCCTTTTACATTTCATAACAAAGCTTATACATATATCCTGAAAGTAGTTTTATATAAAATTTAATACATTTTGTGTATATACAGATACAGGTAATGATGCTAGTCATGTAACTCTCACATAGATTTTTAAATGGTGAAATTAAGATTTCACATAAAAATAAACTTTTGTACTTTCTGTATGCAAAAATACAAGATCACTACTTAGGAAAAATATATAAATGCAGGACTATTTGAATAATATTTTTACTGAGCATGAAACACCTGGTAAGTCATCCATGAAGAAAGGTGTTGCTGTGATGATCATTAACAAAACACTAGCACCAACATAGACTATATAGGTGGGCTGGGGAACCCTCACTCTGGGCAGAAGAGGTCACTTACAACAGTTGTACATCACTTAGGAACCTTCCAAGTGCTTTCTGAAATTTTCCATTTGTGGCAATTCATGTCAGCACCAGAAAAACTTTCAGAATTTGGAGGTTTTCAGATAAAAGATAACCTATAACCAGCAAAAGGGATGCATTTTTTCCAAAATGAAAGCCAAAAAATGCTATATTCATTATTTTTAAAAATTTACTAAAAATCAGAGAATTAATTGATTTAAGCAAAATTTTCAGTACTTATTCATTAATGACGGAGTTGTATACTGAATTGGTTATTTTATTAGAAAACTCATGTGTACTTTTTATATTCTGTACTTATCTCATGTGTACTTTTTAATTTGATGAATGGTGTCCATGAAATTTTTTTTATAGTTATATAAAGAAAAATCCCTGAAGATGTCATTTTAGTAAAAGAATTATACAGTATCAAGTGTGAGCATAAGGAAAATTCATCCTGAACCTTTCCAAAATTAATTCAATAAAACTTGAAAAATAATTTGTTTTGAGAGTTGGTAAATTTAATAAAACATTATTTTCTTTCAGGTTGAACAGGAAAAAAAAATCTACACTGAATATTTCATTTTTTTTTTGTGTAATTTTGAAATTCATTCTATTGCTATTCATCACAGGAATTTCTTTTATTAAATAAAGAAATGTCTGAAGAATCAAAAAATGTAATGTTTAATGCCATTTTTTAAAGAATTTTATTTATTCATCCTTAAAACTATTGTCAAAATCTTGGATATTATTCAGAGGAAAGATCAAAAGTTTTTTTTTTATTATTAAATTATATTTATTAATTCTTTCTAGAACATTCAAAATTTTGGTTATATTATTTTTTCTTGTGTCAGTGGGTGACCATAAATTAGTATAAGAAATTTAGCATCTTTTTTGTGGTAAAAAATACATTGATTTAGAAATTATTACAAAAATCAAATAATTGTCAGATTTTAATGAAACTTTCAGGATTTATTCACAAATGAATGAAATTATTTTAAAATCATTTCTTCTTTAGAAAATCTTGGTAACAATTTTTTTTTTCATTTGTTAAACCCCCACCATTTAATTAATTTTATGAAATTTTGAGAAATTCATTTTTGTATGGCTTAATGCTTATATTAGTTATAAGCACAAGTCCTTGGAGAATTTAAATCATTAATTTTTTTTTGTAAAACAGAGCCTCCAGTTACTCAAAATCTTCTCTGAATTGTAAAATAAAAAAATGCAATAAAACTGAAACATTATTTAATTAAAAAACTTTTAATTGCTTTTATGAATAAGTTTCATTATTTCATTCATTTTTTAAGGCTTATCAACCCTTTGTAGGTTATTTAAAGCAAGAAAATATTTTTAGATTATAAGAATTTTTTCGAGATAATAATGGTTTAGTGATACAAATCTAGTAAGCTTGGTTGGGGGAGGGGGTAGAATATGTAGATTCCTACCTTTCCCAAGGGTATTTGCATGTAAGTGAATATAACAAACTCAACAGAACTGGAACTCAGATCTTCAATTAACAATTCCGAGCCATTATCCATCACACCACCTGCACATCCAAGCTTACATCACCTGGTATTCCCAAGCAGTCGCCCATCTAGGTATTTTTTTATTTTTATTGATGAATAATGAATTTTTACAAGAATTGTTTTCATTTTAAAAAAAATTTTAATAGAATAATTCATAAAGTTTTAAATCTTTTAAAATTCTGTATTAGTTTGTAATGGTTAGGTGATATAGTTAAGTAAAAACTATATTTACTAATCATAAATGGAAAAGCTTACTACAGTTCAGCAACCCCCAGTATTTAAAAAAGTATTTTGAATTTTTTTGTGTAGGCATAAACATGCTGATTTTTGTAAATATGGATGTCCACACACAACGTCATCAGCAAATAAGAGTTGGTAACTATAGTAAATTTAAAGTCAAAGTACCTAAAATTACATTTAGATTACTTAGAATATTTTCATAAATTTTTAAGAAAAAGGGTAGCCTAGAATACTTAAAGAAAATGGCAACAACAAAAAGAACACTTATGTTCAGAATCCCGAAGATACAGCCAAACTTCCTTGGATACATAATGAAGAAGGAGGGCTTGGAAAATGTAACTCTCACAAGGCCTATTAAAGACAAGAGAGATAGGGGAAGACAGTGAGCCATTTTACCTGACAAGCTTGTGTGAATGGATGGTTTAACAGGAGGTGGAAGCCTTAGCTGAAGTAAAAAAATTTGCTAAGGGCCACAACGGACACAAAGTTTTTGGAAACCATTATTGCTCATGTTCTGTAGGGACGTGGCATATAGAAGAAGCAGCTTAAAAGTTCATTTAAAAATTTAAATGGAACACAAAAAATATTCTTAAAATTCATTTGACTGAAGGCTAGAAAGTGAGAATTTGTCATTTAAATACAGGGTGTCCTTGACTTACGACAAAATATTGTTCTGATTATGAGTCGTAATGTGATTTTCCATGTAAGTCAGAATGTACCTGCGAATAAGGACTTAATAAGTCATTCACCGATGCTGAAGCAATAGTAAAGTAATAATCTTGGACATAAAAACACATTTCTATGACATATGTTAACATGAGTTGAACTAAAAAAAACATACAAAAGACATAAATATCATACATATAATGAAATGAAATTGTTTTAAGGTGTGTGTATATATTTATTGCCAGTGATATCATTGGCTCTCAGTAGATGAGATGACAAAGCTTAAGAGCATGTCTCTCTTTCAGTACTTGGAAGCAGAAGTAAATCTGAGTAATAAAAGAAAAAGAAACTCGCGTTTGTTTTTCTTTTTTATTGTGAATTTACCAATTTATAGTTTAAAAAAAACAAAAAAAAACATCCTTATCTCTTACAGGGTAACTCAATATATATACACATATGTACATGTTTTAAGCGACAGTTGAACAACTTAAGCCAAGCAACTGGCCAATGTTCATCACTGTTTCTCCCTGTTTTGTAGAATGTTTAATTTCATTTTCATGCTGATGTATTTCTTTTTCTTTGAAGAACTGCCATCAGAAGAATTTACACTATGCTTGGTAGCCATAATGAAGGGCAATAAGTTTCCACAAACACAACACAAATGAAAGAGAGTGAGTGCACAACAGTCCAAGATGGTGGACAACCAAAAACTGACCAATGCTTCCTTATGTACAAGGCAAACGGTATAAGTTGAAACAAGTTTAATGCAGATTGTGTGATAACTACAAATCACTGTAGGTCGGGATTGTCATAATCCAGGGACTTACTTTAAATTGCAATTAGATGGAAACACAGCAAATAAGCAAACATTTCCATAATACAGTCTGTCAACAGAAATAAGGACCATTAATTAAAAAAAATTGATATTAAATTTCTCTATCTCTTATTGGGTGATTAAAGAATATGGAATGTCCATTTTGTCTTCACAGGAGAATCTGTAACTGTCCATTGCTTGGAAATGTGAATATTTTACACTAAAGTTGTTCACAAAACTATGAATATTTTCAGTGCTTCATTTGCATGTTGTGCATTGAAAAAAAAAACAAGAAAGCATTGTCAGAGGTCAAGAATAACTGAAAGAAAAGGGTTATTATTTTTATAATACAAATGCAGTACAAATGATTTTACTATAGCGATTTACTAAACCTAGCTTAGATATGGCACAAGGCTGAATATATGGAGTGTCCAGTAAGGATCGAATTCACTACTCAGTCATAATTGATCTAGTGAAATAAGCTTACTAACCATTGCAATACATCAAAGTGCCCAATGATTTACTAAGCTTTGTTTAGATGTGGCACAAGGCCAAAAGTATAGAGCATCTCGTGAGGATCAAACTCACTACTCAGTTGTAATAAGCCTTGTTACACCACGTCAAAGTGCCCAAATGATTTTACTATAGAAATACATTGGAAATCAGGCTGAAAGGGTTTAATTTGGCTAGATTTTGTTTAATGGTATGTCAACCCTGATGGGTCATTTTATGACAACCACAGACAGAAAGAGATTGTCAGGGGTGAGGAATAATTGATAGAAGGGAGCTATTATTTTTCTAATGTAAATGCATTGCTTATGATTTTACTATAGAAATGCATATAGAATAAAGCAGATAAGAATTGTCAGGGGCCAGGAAGTGTTACTGGTAGACAAATGTTATTGTTACTCATAATAAAGACAGATACTTTAATTTCCTACCAGTAATTTTGTCTGCCAACTTTGGATACCACAAGACAACCTGTGAGAACACAATGTTTCCCAGATCATTTAAATGGTTATTTAATACACCCGTCGAGCTGTCACCACGACCACCTTCACTCTCCTCCTCTTCTGCATCTTTATTTTCCAGCAGGGAAGAAACAGAAGTCATTTCCAGCGATTTCAAATATGTTGTGCGAGCTTTTTCTATAGCTGATTTCAACAGGCTGGCATCAGTGAGACATTGCTTCAAGAAACTTGGTTTTTTATCCAGCAGCATACCTGAAATAAAAAGAAAATTTCACCATCTTTATTAGAAAATGTATTTTTTATTTGTCATCAGAGAAAATTAATTAGCAGGCAGATGTGCAGGAAAGAAAAGCAAAACTTGGTTTAGATTCAACTCCTGAATGGTGTTTTATTTATTTAATTAATGCAGCAACCCTTCAGCCAAAAAGAGCAGACAAACAGGAAGTAAAAGATATGAAAAGAGCAGCATGCAGAAAACAGAAATAATTGAAACATAGAATTAGAAAAGTGTTCAAGACAGCGGAAGAGACACATTATATACAAGTACAGTTAGCATTTGCCAATATATTGTGAAAATATTTTAAAATTGTAGTTAAATAAAACGTATTCTAACCTAAACATACCCCCCCCCAAATCTTTAAATATACAAGTAGGAAAAAATGCCGAAAGACTTTTTGCCATAAATATAAAAAAAGATGACATAAAAACTCATTGAAAAATGACCCTCCTAAACTTAACTTCTTTTTCGAACGTAAGTCATAATTGATACAACAATAGTTAATAGAAATGAACATGCTCCACCCCCTGTCTGAATGATTGGATTTCTCTGTATCCTTGAAAACAGGGAATTAATTTTTATGTGCATTTAAAACTCAGTAAATTTAAAAATAAGTTACTCCAATATTCACTTGAAGATGAAATGGAACTAATGCTCTTAATTTAATTACAAAATTAAATTCAAGTTTTTAGCTTTCATTTTTGAAACGTGGTTATTACTATGTAGCAGAAAAAAACCCATTTTAAATCAGTTAATTTATAATATATATATATATATATAAAGACGACAGACAAGGTACTGCGATTAAGCTTTTTATTTCATTTTTCTTGTGTTTGAACAAATGTTGTTTTCTTTTCTGGACACAGAGTGTGTAGAAACTGTCCAATGTTTTGTAACTATGAACGCTTTCAGCTATACTTTTATCAGACTCCATCCAAAACATACTAGTAGAAAATACAAGCATAATAACCTCATTCAAATGTAAAAAAAAAAAAAAAAAAATAATTAAAAAAAATTGAACTCTTAATGATAAAAAAAAATAAGCCAACACTCAATAATATTAACTACGAACATGGCCACAATGTGCTGACTGTGTTCGGAAAATAAAACATTCCTAACTCTAGAAATATACACACAAGCCATACATCCAGTTAAAAAGTAAAAATAAAATCATCCTTGATAATAGCTAAAAATATAGCCAAAAGCACTTGGAATTACAGAACATTTGCACAGTTTCTACACACTCTGTGTCCAGAAAAGAAAACACTTGTTCGAACACAAGAAAAATTAAATAAAAAGCTTAATCGCAGTACATTGTCTGTTGTATTTAATGAAACATGTATAAGAGAGGGATTGCTGCCTAAATACACAATATAAATATATGTATATATTAATAAATATACATATTATTACTCACAGGTAGCATGACATGGAGTTTCATGCATAACGCAATCTTCAGGTGCTGAGTAGAAACTGACTGTTACATAATTTAAATTTTAATAAAAATAGCTGGTTAACATAATGCTGGCACAGTTCATATATTATATGGATATTACTGGTCTATATATATATATATATATATATATATATATATAAAAATTAGTCTTATTGTATGAGGGCATGTTGAAAAGTTCTTCTAACCAAGAAAGAATTAAAAAATAAATTCTAATGTTTGATCTAATTTAGGGGAAGTGTGTAAAGACAAGAACTTCTCAGCACATTTTTGTGTTCCATTTTTTACTTAGTATCTTCACAGACCATGTTAAAACTTTAGTTTGCATAATCTCAACTCTTCCTTGGATTTCCAACACATGCAGTCACGGTTCCAATATATGTACTATTATGGATGCGATCCTAAACATCATATTCCACATTTCTCTTGGCTATGGAAGTTCTGCTTACGGACAGTCTTGGATCATTAGTAAATGTCTGTGTGCATATGATATAAATAATCTATGGATGCACTTTACAGACAATTTCTCTTCTTACCTAGCTCAAGATTTCAAGGTTGGGGAAAACTAGGTTGTAACTTTTCACAGCTCAAAAAATGAGTTAACATCATTTTATTATCACTGATTAGACCCAAAGTTTTCTCTAGTGACGACAAATGGTTGCATTCTCAATGAGTATCAATGACTTGAACCTTGATTGAGTTTTGAATTCCTTCTTGAAGTGGAACTTGTGGGTTACCCCACTTGACTGTGCCAAAATGCATGCTAGTGGGCATTCTTTAAGCCTATAAATAGGTAATATTGTCAGTCAATCTCTTTTTGGTCTTTTTAGCTCTGGCTTTCAGATGTAGTTGCATGTAGATAGAAACACTGCTGACAAGATGTGTTCGCTTCTTTGGTCTTCCTTTGACTTTTGTTCACCATGTGTACCAGGAGCTATTGCAGAACATTATAGAAATACACTTACTTCTTCATTTCAAAATTTCATTTTGAAATATCTTCTCAAAAAGTGTATCATACAAAAGAATGTCCACATGTCACAAGTTGTGCTCATTTGGGACAACACATTTTCACAGTCAAATACTCAGTTTCATTCATTGTAAAATAATTCTAAAATAATCCTTTTAGACCTGTTTAGGTTATCTTTCCAGGTTACCAATAATTTCAGTTGAATCCATGCTTCAGCAATAATAAATAAACCTTACATACACACAAGATGAAAAAGACAGTAAAAATATAATTTGCCAATTAATGATCCTAACAAATACCTTAGGTTTATCATTTCTTACAAAAAATTAAGAACATCTAATTACCAGCTACTAAATTAAAAAGGTAGAAAATAAAATCAAAGACAAGGGGGACATAATTCTGGAAAGCTACAGAGCCTATAAATCTCACAATGAAATAAAAAAAATATCCGCCTGAACGGTTAAGAATAAACTATCTGAGAAATTGAAAAAAAAAAAAAAAACCTTAAAAAAACACAAAGATGATGATAGTTCAAATGAACATGTTTCCGTTTTCTTGCTAAAAGTTACAAGAAAAGTTACCTCCCTTGGCATTGAAACATATTTCTATTTAACTTCAAAAGGAGACGGTGAATATTAATGGATTAAAAGTAGAAAGTCTACTTCAAGTCTATACTCCTAACGCCTCTGTTTAAACTTTGAAATTTTTATTTATTATCTACTTTCCTTAATAAGAGTATATAAGCTCGCTTTTGGCTGGTTCATACTCCTCCCTTGTCTTTTGAACAGGAGTAGTGGTTTATCCCTTGTTTCTGGTTTCTTTTTTCATTCTCTTTGCCCTCCCAGCAGTCCCTTGCATCTTAGTGGTATTATCCCTTTGCTCACGGTGAACTGGGTAAAAAAAAAGAGAAGAAAATTGACTCGAGATTTTGACCAATACTAGGATTGCTTAATTTTTGCATGAAAATTAATGCTCAAGTTGTTTGAATTTCTCAAGCTTGGGTCTAATAATAATAATAATAATAGAAAAGAAAGAAAGAAGAATGTAAGTGAATTGGCAGAATTCGTGAGTGCTGCACAACATATATTCAATAATTTTTTGTTTAATTTTACGCTTTGCTATTTCTCTTCAAGTTGTTTAAGTCACACCAATGTCAGTAGTGGAATTTCTTAAAATTTACTTGAATTTGAAAATAGTTATTTATAAAGAAATATTGTGTAATATGTGGGCATGAATGGGTTAATAAATAAAGTAATAACAAAAAAAACAAATATTTTTTTCATTACATGAAAAATAAAAAATGACTTGCCTGTGATTTTGGCACAAAAGATTGGATCAATAGCGGCAACTTTGTCAAACAATTCTTCAGAGGCACTGTCTGTCCAATCAGAAAGTATGCTCTCCTCCCTAGAAAAAAAAAACAAGAAAATATATATATATATATATATATATATAATCTCATACAAATTAACAGCTGTACCCTCTTCTTTCAGGTACACCAACAGGTTGGAATAGTACTTGTTAATAGCATCTGGATTATTTAAAGTAATAAAAAAGTATAAATGCTTGATATATTGTTGAAAAACTTTGAGTCATTAACCTTCTACAAGTGTTGTTTACACCAGGATTGGTACAAGGGTCTCATGACACTCCAAAATCTATGATACTTCCATCTTGAATCTATGATACGGGCCCCCCCACTCTACTACACGTCAATTTCAATAAGGTAGTATTCATATAAAATACAAATTTTATTCTAACCTAATTATGTATAATAATGGATCATCTGCAATATAAGTGAACAATTCAACTAGAAAAACTGAAAATAAATCCAATGTATCTAAATATAAATTAGAAACATGTCATAAGAGATGAATCTTAAATAAATCAACAATATTTTGTGGCAATTTTTAACATCAACTCGAGATTTTTCTTGGTAAAAGTTGAATAATTTTTATACATTCCACATCATGGATAAAAAAAATGTTGAACTTTATAGCAGTAGCAACAAACCATATACAGCAGCAATATTCAATGCAAAGATGAAGGGTAGATTTATAAATGTGCAAGATGGATTCTGATTAGAATATCATCTGGTTGACACAGTGATTGGTTGTTTTTTGTATAGTGCCAGATCAACATCTCTATTGGTTATTTAATTCTGAAATTTAAATATTTTTTATGCAATTTTATTTTTGGTGATGCATGTCTTACTAATTAACCCATAGCTGGGGGGAGAAGTGATGGATTCATACCTTTCCTGAGGTATTTGCACATAAGTGAACATAACAGGAATTCGAACTCAGCTCTCCGATTTCAAGCTCCGAGCCATTATCCATTACATCATCCTCCCATTCAAGCTTACAGCAACTGATATTCCCAAGTAGTTACCCATGTAGGTATTGACCAGGTTCAATATTGCTTAACTTCGGTGATTGAATAGGAACTGGTGTTCCAATGTTATATGTCAATTAGCCATGACTCGGTGAAGCAACTTTCCTGACAGAAGACATAGCAATTGTTTCAATATAATTCATGTCAATAGAAACCTGAGTCCAAGAAGGTACAATAAGTTGCTATCCAGAAGGTTAGCATCAGCCATACTGATGGAAGGTAGAAAAGCTTCTCTGTGGTGATTAAATGACAGGAGTTTTGTTTTGGAGGTGTTAAAATATACAAGCCATTTCTTGCCCAAGTTAACCATTGATTGCAAGTCATTTTCAAACAGCTGCTAGGTTTACTTTGTTGAACTTACTACTAAGATGGGAGTAAATAGTTGCATCATAAAATAGTTTTTGCATACCAAATACTGACATAACTTACTTAGATTTCTTTACCTAAATCATATTTTGAGCACTCATTTGTTAAAAACTGAAATTATGATTTGTGACTAATAAGTTTGACCCTAATTCCTTGGAATATAAAATTTTTTGTATCTGTCTATATTTCTGAGTTGAGGTATTATGTACATTATTTACATTATTTGGACTATTGTCCTCATCTTTATCGCCAAATTTATTACAACGTTTTGGCCGTTGTACGCTTCAGCCTTCTTCCGGTGGTTGGAATGTCGAACTTAACCCTTTATTTTGCTCACTGGGGTAGAATGTTCTAGTTCCACGTGCCATATTTAATGGATGTTAGTTGTCAGTTAGTTATCTCCTGTTAATTTCCCTCTGAAAGTTCCCCACTGCCCCAAAGAGTGTGAGTTCAATACCTGGTTAAGGCAGTGGAGAACTTTCAGAGGCCATCTAATTTTTCACATTTATGTTACATACAAAGGAGGAAGGTCTTGGCATTTTGAGGAAATAAAATTGTTTTCTTCAATTCATAAAGTTTTGGAGATATTTTAAACTGATTTTAAAACAAAGTTTTTGTGTTATTTTTAAACTCAATATAAATTAAAAACTTTTAAAAGCACTAATTTTTTTCAGTTATTTTAAAATTTTAGCTGTTCCCTCTTCAGCGAGACACAAATCCCAATGCTGGATGTTCAAGCAGATTTTCAATCTCGGGATCATCCTGAATCAAAAAAGTATATGCCTACGTTGAGCAAGTGTGGCCTGAATTAGTGGGGTTTCTGGCACAGGCACAGGGAGGCAGAATTTGCCATTTATTTATTTAGAAGATAAATAAAAGATAGATGATTAAATAAGTGTGTATTTGGAATATGAGGCTAGGTAAAATAACCTCATGGAAGTAAAAACTTTAATCCTAGGAAATCATACTTCCTTACAACCAAAATTTTCTGTCTGGTTCTCAAGGCAAATGGCAATTTATACAATTCACTTTTTGTAATCCATTTTTTTTTTTAAATTTTCTTTTTAATTTACCCTGCAATTTTATAAAAGTATTTCCTGATACACAATAGATGATTGGTTTTATAGTACTTTTGTTTTCTTTTAAGCTACTACTGACCGAAAAACATTTTCTTATACATTTCTAAACTAAATGCAACAAATACAGTGTGTGGCAGAAATACCTCCCACATAAAATGGTAAAAAAACCATTAGCTAGATGAAGACACCATTGCCACTCATGTAGATATCTCCAGATTCGCTAAAAATGAGCAAACATGATGAAAAAATGCCCCAAAGTTAATAAAAAAGTTTTATCGTCAAAATCTGTGTTATTAAGTCTTAAATAATAAAAAAATCCTTTGGTCTATCTTCTTAAGAAGGATTTTTAGATTATTAAATTATATTTTTAGATTATTAAATTATATTTTTTTGATCCTTTTTAGAATGTTCGAAACTGGTTAAAAATCTTTTTTTTTTTTTGTCTTGCTCTAAAGGAGTAGTAGGAAATTTTAGCGTCTTTTTTGTGGTGAAAAACATTGATTTTGGAAATTCTTGCAAAAAAATCACAATTATCGGATTTTAATTAAACTTTCAGGATTTATTAACAAATGAATTAAATTATTTTTTTAAAAAATGTTTCCTTTTTTAGAAAACCTGGCAAAAATATTTTTTTGGCATTGTTTAAAAAATGTTACCCAACAACAGTAACACACTTATTTTTATTTTTTTTGTGAAATATCCAGAAATTAAATTTTGTGCCACTTTAATTTATATTAGCTAATAAATAAGTTAGATAAAGACACCATGACCACTTAAATGTCTTACAATTAATTATGTGGGACGTATTTCTGCCGTACCCTGTAATTATGGGACAAAACAAAAAAAAAAAAACGTAAAAAATATTACTCGTTGTTCAGTTTCGTATTAAATATAATTTAAATTAATAAAATTATAAAAACAATTATTTAATAATCGCTATTTAGTATTTACTTATTCGATTAATTGAATTATCATTAAAAAAAAATAGATTTTTTTAATTGTTTGTTTTTAAGACCATTTTTTAAAATGTTATAAACATTTAAAAATAAACGTTCAAAGTTATTTTTATGAATTCTTTAAAAGAAAATATAAAGTAAATATTAACAAATTTTATTTATTTAAAACAAATAACGCATAAAAAAGCAGGAATTATTAACTTTGTTGTTTTTTTTCAACTTTTGTTTGAGAGTTAATTAAAAAACCGTTTTTAAAAAAATACCCACGAAGAAGCTGGAATGTTTTGATTTTTTGCTTGTTCCGTTGTATTCGCTGAAGACTGTGGAATAATTAAGGGTAGAACTCGTGCCACCCTTTTTTGAAGAAGTTGAAAATCTTGAAGCATCGCTAAAACGTCTTGTTGGCCGCATTCAAGTAGAACACCGGTCACTTTCGACACTGTTTCTTTGTATAAATGTGGGAAATACGAACTAATTTGAGCATGAAGATGATTGCCCAATGTCTCCAGTGTTGTTGGCAAATCTGAGTCTGTCGAATCATCATCTTTTTGACTTTCGTCACAATTCATTTTTTTCTTCGTTAAAGATTTCACTTTACCTCTTCTTACGTATACAAACAGTTGATGGCTTCTTCTCGGCAATTGTGGTCACGTGACAAAAACAAATCCCGGAATAAGACATTACAGTTATCTCCCCTTGCCTTTTTATTTTATTTTCCTAAATTCACCAGTCTCTGCCACTAGGGAAATAAAGTCCCATTTTTTTTTTATATTGATTTAATAATAAACTATGTTTAACCCTTACCATACCAAGCCCAGGTAATCAAAGTTGCAAGCCGCGGTCATCGAAGGACCCCATGTTTTTTCTTATATTTCTCAGCGTTTGTCGCACTAGATTAACTCAAATCAAAATAGTTTTTTTCTGGATTTCTGAAACGATATTTCAGAATATTTTGTAATAGTAAACAAAATATAATCCATAAACTCTTATTTATAAAAGTGTTTTCATTTTTACATTCTGATTGAATACAGTCTAAAAAACAGCTGTATAATTTCACTAAAATAAACAAAAATAGTACAGATTCATCTTTTGCTATTGCTTGTCCTTAGCACATGTCAGACTTGGACTGGTCTTCCTATGTACCTCCCAGACAAAACATTTGCATTCACAGCAGATTGTGTTGACTTCCCGATTGTTATTTCTAGGACAATAGGTGCATTTCGCCCTCTTGCAACTGTGCTGTTGCCCTGGTACTCACGATGTGCTTTGGGCTGCAGTGTTGTACACAACAAATACTCCTGCAGCTTCAATGGCTCTGACAACTGAAAGATGGAGACTATTTGGATTGCTTGCCCTGTGCAGAATGTTGGACTTTGCCGGTTCCTTGCCCAACTCCAATAGGAATCAATATCTGTGACTTTTCATGCGGCGGTTCCAATCTTTGTTTTTCGATGTCCAAATTATGAAAGTATTTAGGGCTTCAATATCTAACGTTCATGAAAATTCTCAGAGGCCATCTTGAGGAACGTCTGCCACAAGAATATTCTCTTAGCAGTTTGCCTGCATTGTCCACGTCGCCTTTGGTGCACTTGTATTCAAGTATCAATGTTGAGCTTCTTGTGACTTTCATTGGATACTGAATCATCAAGAAATTGAGTGGAGAGTACATGAACTGTTTTGTTTTTCTTTGGGATGTAGCTGACCACTGCTACACCGTCTGAGATGATATATTTTGATGACAGAAAGTCTTTTGCAATTCCATCGTTGCATGAATGTCAATCTTTTTTGCTCTTAATGTTCCTGTAATAGTAATATTTTTCTGCAACAAAAATTCTGCAGTTGGTGCGTACTTAAAAAAAAATCCGTAGTCCCACCTCTACCAAATCCAAACAATGATAATGATTCCATCAAGTCACATATTATGTGGTGTCCCAAGTTTCTCTTTGGTGCATTTACTGGAAGCTTTCCAGTGTAGACTTGCAAGTTGTACAAATATGATGTCTTCACGTCTGCAGCTGGCCAGATTTTGATCCCATATTTTGCTGGTATTGATTTAATGTACTGCCTCATTAGATATCTGCCATGAAATGCAACTAGTTGCTAATCTACTGTAATGTCTTCAAATGGTTAGAAAAGCTTCTTATCGTCAAACCTGATAAACTGAAAGATGGGCACAAATCTGCTCTCTGCTAAGGCAGCAGTAAAAACTGCATGGCGAATGTTCTTATGTGTTGTCCACATTTCAGAAATCATTTCCTTTTGGCATCGAAGAATCCTAGCAATTAGCAGGACACCAAAAAACGCTCTTATTTCCACAGGATCTAAATCTAACCAACTTCTCGATCTGTTCGAAGAGGCATTTGCATTGAAATCTTGAACAACACGTGATGCTTCAGCATTGGTGAAAGTGCATATAGTATCTACAATTTGGTCATCAAAGAATATGTTGAAAACTTCAGATATAATGGTTGCGGCATTAGTTGTGGGCCTTGGCAGAGGAGATCCTCTGACAATGTCACATTAGCAAGTCGGCGGAGGCACCAAACTAGTCCATCGCTGAGGTGTTGGGATCTATATTGCAGAATCCATAGACCTACATTAATATAGCACTATTAAGGATGTGATCCTGAATTTTATATTCCTCGTTTCTCTTGGCTATGCAAGATCTGCTTTGGGATGTTTTCGGATCTTTAGTAAATGTCTGTGCAGGTGACACAAACAGTTTATGCATGCACTTTACAAACGATTTCTGCTCTTATCTAGCTCAAGAGTTCAAAGTGGGAAGGAACTTGGTTGTATCTTTAAATACTTCGAAAGCTGAGCTAGAATTGTTTTATTATCACTGATCAGACCTCGAGTTTTCTTTAGTGACGACAAACGGTTGCATACTCTATGAGTATCAATGCAATGAATGTCAATTGGGTCTCAATTCACTCCTGACCACAAATGGAACTTGTGGGTTACCCCACTTGATTGTGCCAAAGTATATACTAGGGGGCACTCTAAAAGCCTATAAATAGGCAATGATATTGCCACTCAAACTCTTTTTGGTCCTTTTAGCTCTGGCTTTCCAGTGTAGTTGCACGTAGATAGGAACATTTCCAACAAGGTGCATTCGCTTCTTTGCAGCTCCGTTGACTTTTGAATTCTATCACACACGCCTGTGATAGACACGTATATTGCACACACAAGCACATTCTTTTTATAACATGTTTTAATGTTTTTGTTCCTTCATATTTTGTCTACTCTTGTAATTCCTTTTGTTAATATGTCATTTGTTTTATATTTTTTTTCTGGACTCACATTAAGTCTGCTAATATTGTTTGTGGAGCCCATAAATATTTACTATCCAAAGTGTTGATTCCCCGCAACATAATGGTGGCTAATACTTACGTCATTAGCTTTTCGCTGCTCTATTGCTATTTCCATGGTACATGTTCTGATTAGCTACATTCCTTAGTCCCGCCAGCACTGACCATTACAACTGATATTCGCCATGTCATGCACACAAGTATGAATCCTCTCAATTTCCTTCACATTCTATTAGAAAGAAGTAAGTTCCATTAAGACAGCTTCTTCCCAAGAACTGCTACTTTGTGGAACAGGCTCCTGGTATGATGTTTCCCAATCATACAATTTTGAACTCTTTAAGTCTAGGATTTGTTGCAGTATTCTGGCATGTTTAGTTAGAAATAAATCACCATTATTTTGTGGGTATCGCCTCTTTGGTTGTGACGTGTATAAACATTTTATATGAAATATTTATAGGCTCCTGGAAAATTTATCCCACAAATAATATTAGCGGATTCAATGTGAGTCTGGGTAAAAATAAAAATACACAAAACCAAGAATATAAATCAAACGACAATGCGTGTTATTAACAAAAGGAATTACATGTGTACACAATTGCAATGAAAGAAAAAAAACATTAAAACTAGATATAAGAAGACTGTGCTTGTGTGTGTGTGAAACAAGCATGTGTGATAGACGTGTCTGTGTGTGCGCGGGAGAGAGTTCAAAAGTCAACAGAGGACCAAAGAAGTGAACACGCCTTGCCGGCAACATTCTTTATTGATGTCAACTAAATCTAGAAGCAAGAGTTTAAAAGAGATATAGAGAGAATATGATTGTCTTTTTATAGGCTTACAGACTACAGAGTGTCCTCTAACAGGTATTTTGGTAACGCCGTGTGATAACTCACAGCTTAACCATTATCTTTCCTGTATAACCTTATGAAATTCACTCCTAGCCTTTTCTTACACTCATACAACATCACAGGGTATCCCTCTACCTTGAGTGTCTCTTGGGTCTTGTATTGTGCGGACAATAGTATAAAAAAAGTTCAAAATTCGAAGTACAACATATATCTGAAGAGATTCAGAGAGTATGCTGGCTGAAATTTACACAAAACTCCTTTCCATCTTCTGATTACATAGTCAAACCAGTTTAGCCCCCTTCTAATCTTCACATGTAGCTTTTTTTTCTTATGGTAGCCATTCTGATTTTTTTCAGATATTTTCTCCAGCGATGGTTCTGTTGTTTTCGAATATTTACAGCTTTTTTTTTTTTTTTTTTGTATGTTTTTGTTTTTTTTTTCACGGTGCCCTGGTCTCACAAGCATAAATTACTATAGAAACCAATCCGTGAACAGGAAACTAGGGTTAAACCTCTACTCCTGTTCAAAAGACCAGAGTAACGTGCGAACCTGGCGACAGGATCGCCTATTGGCCGGTTCAAACTCCTCCCTGGTATTTTGAACAAGTAAAGGTTTAAAAAAGCCCTTGTTCCCTGTTTAGGATTGGGTTTTTGGTCACATCTAAACTATTTTCATTCTTTTTCACTCCCAGTAGCCCTTTGCATCTTAGTTTCATTATCGGCTTGCTTGGGGCGAACTGATTTAAAAAAAAAAAAAAGAACCTTGTCTTGATGTAGTATGGGATGTCTTTTTTTGTGCCAGATCGTCTTTATTAACGAGGAACTAATTTTGTTTGTTACCGCCAAGTTATTTCCCCTTGACTTTCTTTGTTTAGCGTCGTTCCTTATTTAAAAAAAACAAACAGACAAAAAAAAAACAGAAATATTTTAAATTTCACGTGGCGAATTCTTATCAATTAAAATGATAACAAAAAATAATTAATTTATTCCGTCTGTAATTGATGAACAGTAAATACATTCCAAGATAAGCGTAGGTAAGTAGAAATGTTTGCAGATGTTGACGCATTTTTTTTCGAAAAGTGTTTTTTTGTTTATTGAGGAGAACGCGCACTGAACAACAAAATATAAAAGTTTTTATTTAATGAATTAAATCGTTTTTGTATTTTTAAAAAATTATTATAATAAATAAAATGTTAATTTGTTAAACTGATACCAGATTTGTTTTTTTTTC